AATCGACAGGGGGGATTGCCCAAGGGGCCCCCAAGTGGCCTCCAAATCGACTCAAGAGGCGTCGAAGGTGTCCTCCTGGAAGACTCGGAGAACCAAACAATCAGTATGTTTAACAGGTTGTTGTAAGATTTTGGCATGTGCTTCTTCTCGGCCGTCCGACGGCCCAAGAGGCCCTCAAGATCGCCCAAGAGGCCTCCGAGGTGGCCTACCGACGGCTGTTGGAGCCCTCAAGACGGCCCAAGAGGCCTCAAAAACGCTCAAGATGGCATTCAAGCCGGCCCTGGCTCGCCCCACGAGAGCCCCACGTCGTCGTCGTCGTCGTCGTCGTCGTCGTCGTCGTCGTCGTCGTCGTGTTCCTCCTCTCGTCGTCCAATCCTATCGAATGCGTTCCAAGGCGTGCAAACAAGGGCAGAAGAGGGGAGAAGGGAGCTAGGAGGAGGAGAAGGGAGAAGGGAGAAGAAGGGAGAAGGGAGCCAGGGAGAAGGGAGCTAGGAGGAGGGAGGGGGCGAGGGAGGCATTCCCTCAGAGCTCCTAGCTCCCTTCTCCCTTCTTCTGTCGAGCACTCGACAGATGAAGGGAGGAGGGAGCCGGGAGGAGGGCGGGGGGCGAGGGAGGCGGGGCCTGGCCGAGACCACCCGTTTCGACTACACGTGTGCGTGGTTGCTTCGTGCTCTGGAAGGAGTCTGGGCGCCTGTGGGCCCGAGACCGGACATGGTCTCGCCGTCGTCGCCCTCCTCCTCGTCCTCGCCGCCGTCCCCGTCCTCCCCCTCCTCGTCGTTCTCGTCCTCCTCCTCCTCGTCCTTGCCCTCCTCCTCGTCCTCGCCGTCGTCCCCGTCCTCCTGCTCGTCATCGTCGTCCTCCTCGTCCTCGTCCTCCTCGTCCTCGTCCTCGTCCTCCTCGTCCTCGCCGTCGTCGTCGTCCCCCTCCTCGTCCTTCTCGTCCTCCTCGTCCTCGTCTTACCTCCGCTCCTGGCCAGACGAGATGTGGTGCTCGCGAGCCGCCATGGTGCTCGCGCGCCTACGCTCTGCCTCTGCACCCACCGGCTTCTCCCTTGCAGTCGTGCCTCGCAGGGGAAATTAAACCCAACACAGCGGGACGTGTCTGAAGGGGCCCTGGGACACACAAATAAATACACACAAATAAAACGATTCCCCATGTTTTCCCATATTTTCTGGGTTTTTGTCTTCCCCCCCACTTCCCATATTTTCCACTATTTTCCTGGGAATCGACGATTGATTGTGTCTGTGTTTTTGTCCCTCCTGAATGTCTCCCGTGCTTCGCATGAGGAGCTGCATTTATACACAACACCAAAGGGGAGCACAACACAACATCACACAACACAACAGGGAATCGTACGAACCAAGCACAACACAACACAACACAACGGGAAGCTGCATACACATGATATGACCAGCTTTGGCGAGAACTGGATACACATGACTGCCCAAACTTCGGCCCGCACGTGGCTAAATAAGCCAGCCATCTGCACGTGTATCCAACAAGCTGGCCGCCGCATGATTCGCCTGTGATTCCAACCGCGTGCATTCCCATCCTCCTGGATTGCTGAAGACACCCAGGTTGAAATTCTCGGTTGTAGTCTGCTCATTCAAAAAAAAACGCATTGCGCTCTTGGGACAGTCAACCCGTATGATCAGGATGCGCTGTAAGCATGCCAGGGCCTTGGAGGGACGTTTTTCAAACGAGATTGGCCAGCAAAAGTGGCGAAGGATGGGCCGGAAGGGCAAGGATGCAAGGGTGGCCTTGGAAAATTGCTCCTCCTTATTATGCGGGTTGACTGTACAAGTTGACCTGGACGGTCCCCGTGATTCTCACCTCATGGGCTTACGCCAATCCGCACGCCCCCAATGCGCACGCTGTTGTGAAGCGAAGCACCTTGCAGCGCAATGGGGAGGAATACAAGGGCTCCCAACTTCGCGCTTCGCGCTCCGCGAAGCGCGAATAACTTCGCGCTCTCGCGCCGCCCCCCAAAAGGGAGAAAAGGAGGACGAGGAGGAGGGGGAGAAGGATCGAGGACCGCGAAGCGCGGATAACTTCGCGCCCTCGTGGAAGCCCTTGGAATACCACGACAAGAGGAGGATGAGGACGAGGCAGGGGAGGACGACGACGACGAGGCCACTTACCCCCTCGGGCCCAGGGGCGCACGGACCCCTCCCAGAACACGGATCGCAAAGGAGAAATGTAATCCACCAAGTCGCTTCGGCTTGGCCCAGCCTGCTTCGAGCCGTCCCTCCTCTCGGCTTTCTCCTTCATTCTCCTGGTCTGGGGCGAAGCACTGTGCAACGCAAGGAGGAGGACGCCGAGAGGAGGAAAATGGAAAGGATGAAACGGCGGAGGGAAGCGAGAGGATAAGCCCAAACCGTACTCTACTCACCGCATTCCCCTAATTACGCTGCGCTCAGCGATCCGTGGATATCCATCGCAAGCCCTCGCGTTTCCGCAGCCTGGTGCGCGCTCCCCCCCCACCGCAGATCCCAAGAGGTCTCTGCAAGTACGCTCTTTTAGTTAACGCAAAGCATTCCCAGAAGGCGCCGGCACGAATCGTGACGATACCAGGGGGAGAGGAGGCGGGGGCTGGTTACGTCCGCTACCACGAAAATCATTCTCCTGTCGCAAACCCAACCCATCTGGATTAAGCGATAAGATGACTTGGTCCGGAATCGCACGGCTGATGGCAGCGCAGGATGTGCCATCGGTTGTGCAAGCTATCTGGGAAGCGCGCGCGTTGCAGGACTCATCGGGCGGCATCAGGAGGACGAGGACTGAGGCCCCAGGCTCGAGGGGGAACTGGGGGGGCGGGAAGGAGGGGTGGGAACAGGAACGGGGGCCGAAACGCTAACGCGACAGCAGCAGCAGGAGGAGTAGGAGGAGGAGGAGAAGAAGAAGAGGAGGAGGAGGACGAGGAGGAGGAGAATGAGGAGGAGGAGGAGGAGGAGGAGGAGGAGGAGGAGGAGGAGGAGGAGGAAGGGGCAGGACGAGGGAGGAGGGCGGCGATCATTTCCCAGAGGCGCGTTGGACGAGCAGCACGGCCCGCGATCTGGCGCTCCCAAAACTGAGCTGTTTGCAGCTGGTGCAAGGAGCGAGCGAGGCCGAGCTCGCCCAGCAAGTGCTCCGCTTCCTCTCCTCGCGCCGCAGTGCGGGAGATGCGCGCCCGCGGCACGCCGCCGGGTCTCCCGGCCGCCCGGGGGAAAGGACATCGAGGCGAGTCCGTTTCCGCGCTTGACGTCACTCTGCCGGGCCCCCCAGCAACCCTCGGAAGTGGCGACAGTTTGGCAGTTCTCAGCCTCACGAGGATGGCGAGGTCTAGTGCGAATCCGCGTATAACGTCACTCCGCTGGACACCCCAGCATCCCTCGGACGTGGCGACAATTTTGCAGTTCGCAAGCCCCGAAGGGTGGCGAGGCCCAATGTGAATCCGCGTGTGACGTCACTCCGCTGGACTCTCAGCAGCCCTAGATGGCGACAGCTTCGCAATTCGCAGCCCCCCCCAGCGATGGCGAGGTCTAATCTGAACCCGCGCATGTCGTCACTCCGCTGGATCCCCCCAGCAGCCCTCAAAAGTGGCGACAATTTTGCAGCTCGCAACCCCCCGAGGATGGCGAGGTCTAGTCATAATCCGCGTATGACGCCATTGCGCTGGACCCTCCCAGCAGCACTCGATAGTGGCGACAAGTTTGTAGTTCGCAGCCCCCAGGGATGGTGAGGCCTTATCTAACTCTGCCCATGGCGCGACTCCGTGCCCCTAGGAGCCCTCGAAAGTGACGACAAGTTTGCACTTCGCAGCCCCTAGGGATGTTGAGGTCGAATCTGAACCCGCGTGCAGCGTCACTCCGCTGGACCTCTCAACAGCTCTCGAACGTGGCGACAGTTTCGCAATTCGCAGCCCCCCGAGGATGGCGAGCTCGAATCTAAAACCGCGCATGACGTCACTCCGCTGAACACCCCAACTGCCCTGGAAAATGGCAACCGTCTCGCAGTTCGCAGCTCCCCAGCGAGTGCGAGGAGGAAAAGTAGCAGGCAAGTAGATGGCAGGGCAGCAGGCAGATAGGAGGCGGGTAGCAAGCAGGCAGGTAGGAGGAGGGACGAGAGGAGACGGAAGGCGGGAGGAAGGAGTGGAGACCGCGGTGATCTTTGCAGAACACAAGCCCGACGCAAGAGGGTGTGGGAAACGCATCGTCATCATCATCATCATCATCATCATCATCATCAGCAGCAGCAGCATCATCATCATCATCATCATCATCATCATCATCATCATCATCATCATCATCATCATCATCATCATCATCAACATCAACATCAACATTAGCATCATCATCATCAGCAGCGCCATCTTCACCTTCACCGTCCCCATCACCATCATCACCATCACAATCAGGATCATGACTAGCATCACCATCATCATCAGCAGCATCAGCATGGTGATGCTGATGATGATGCTCATCATCAACAGTATCATCATCATCATCATCATCATCATCATCATCATCATCATCATCATCATCATCATCATCGTCGCCATCAACTGTATGAGCATCATCATCGCCATCATCGTCATCATCATCGTCAGCATATTCATCATCATCGTCATCATCATCGTCGTCAGCATCATCAACGTCATCGACATCATAATCATCATCAACCGCATCATCACCATCATCGCCATCGACATCGTCATCATCATCATCATCATCAGCATCATCAGCATCATCATCATCATCGGCATCAACTGTTTGAGCATTATCCTCACCATCATCATCATCATCATCGTCATAATCAGCATCGTCATCGTCATCGTCATGATCATGATCATTATCATCGTCGTCAGCATCATCAACATCATCACCATCATCATTATCATCACCATCACCATCACCCACCATTATCCACCGACCTCGGGGAGATCACACATCCCATTGCAACGTCTCTGAGCTGCTGCAGGGAACGGACGACAGCCGCGGGCGAGGAAGACTGGCGGGCGCTGGGCTGGCCGCGCAGCCGGGCCGCGAGCGGCGGTCTCGGGCGTCGGCTAGCTGCGGGGGCGGCGCGGGGGCGGGGCGCATCGTCGTCGTCGTCGACGTCCTCGACGTCGTCGCCATCGACCTTCACGTCCACGTCCAGAACTGCAACGCGGGGTCCCTGGAAGGGGCACCCCGAAACCAAACAACCAGGCCCGTGGCCTGGTCGAACTTCCTGGGGGGAACCTTCCCGCTGCAAGTGCAGCGATCACCCCCTCCTCCTCCTCCTCCTCCTCCTCCTCCTCCTCCTCCTCCTCCTCCTCCTCCTCCTCCTTTCTTTCTCTCTATCCTCGTCCGCGCCTCATATCGCCCCAGTACTCCTCGTCATCCTCGTCCCCCTCCCCACTCGCGCCCGCCATCCCCCCCTATGTCGTCGTCGTTTTCCTCCTCCTCCTCCTCCTCCTCCTCCTCCTCCTCCTCCTCCACCCTCTTCTCATTATCTCCGTGCGTCGCCTCCTCGTCGATCGCTTCACCCTTGTGCTCCGCCTCCTGCACCCCCCCTCCTGCAGCATCCCGCAATGCTGCAAGATGGAGGGGCCGAACGGGCATCCAGGACGGCTGTCCAGCGACTCGGGGGCCCAATGATTGCACCTGCGTGAGTTTACAAAATCGGAGCAGCTGCCTGAGAGGTGTGTGTGCCGAGATCGCGGGTAGCTCTGCACAGCTCGCAAAGCGCATTATCTTCAGCAAGTGTGATGGTTGACCCTGGGTCGCAGACTTGTGGCATGAGCCATCGCATTAAATCGCTGTATGTTCACCACTACCTGTCTGAAAAACTCCCACTATTGCTGTGTCAGGTTCTCCCACCCACAAAAGCATTTGCATTTAAGACAGGGGGCGGGTTGCAGCGGGGTGGTGATCGGGGGTGGTGCATTGTTGCTCCCCGCCCAGAGCACAACGATAACAATGCTCCATGTAAGAATATCGGGCCACCGATGCATAAAATAAGACCCCCATGAAATGGGGGATCATTATGGGTCCATGTTGCAAACCGAATCATGCCACAGTCTGACGAACTGATTGTTGTTGTCGTCGTCATCCTGCGGCCCACCCGCGACCCATGTCGCGACTCACCCCGCGACACACCCACGACCCATACGCGACCCACCCCGCGCCCGCCACCACAACCAGCATCCGCACCTGCAGGGTGCTGCGGTATGCCATGGTGCTAGCGACGTCGGCAACGGTCTTACATACCTCGGCAACGGTCTTACACGCCAGGGGTGGATGGCGCCCCGTGCGTGCATGGGGCATCCCACGATGCCCCCCCCCCCCCCCTGGCCATCGCTCGGACGTCCATTCCCTGTGCTTTTTTCGATTTCGTGCGTGGTTTTTTTCGCCAAATGATCAAGGATGCTCCTCGATGGTCCTCGCCGGAAGAAAAATGCACACGCCCGAGCGATGCCAAGTGCATGGGGCATCCCACGATGCCGCCCCCCCCCGGAGATGACGGATTACGTATCCCCATCCCCGAGCACAGTGCGGCCCCTGCTCGGGGCTCGGGGGCGCCGTGGCGCGCGGGAGAACGACGGCCTTCTCGATTCTCCTCTCGCCACCCCCCCTCCCAAACCACCTTCTCAACAGTGCAGAAAACGATTCCAAGAGGGCCCCCCAAGAGGGCTCCAAGGGGCCCAAACCATTTACTTTCTGTAGGTGGTAGAACGTTCTTAGCGTCCTCGACTTTCCGGGTTCCCGACGCTCCCAGACGGCCCTAGAGGCCTCTTACATCGCCCAAGGCGGCCCAAGAGGCCCCCAAGAAAGCTCCCAAATGGTCCAAGACTGCCCGCCGACTGCCAAAGAGGGGCCTAAAACAGCCCAAGAGGCCTAACTGACGGCCCCGAGAAGGGGTCGACATGGGGGATCCGCACGGACATTTTGAGCCCTCGGCCCCTATGGGCCCCCAGCAGGCCCCAAGAGGCCCCCAAGAATCCCCAAGAGGCCCCCGGGAGGCCCCCAAACTTCACCCAAGCGGCCCCCGAGAGCGCTCCGAAGAGACCCAAAGAAGCATCCCTGAGAACACTGACCTACAACCCACGCACGGTGGCAGGATGGGCCGAAGGCCACTCGACGTACGTGCAGATGTGTATCCCAATCTCCCTATCTACCTCTCTGCCTATGTGTCTCTCTGTCTTCCTGTCGCTCTCTCCCTCTCTCTCTATTGATTATCTCTGGCTCTCTCTCTCTCTCTCTCCATCTCTCTCTCTCTCTCTCTCTCTCTCTCTTTCTTTCTGTATATATAAAATGAAAACATAATGTGTATAGATGGTTCTCTCTCTCTCTCATCCTCTCTCTCTCTCTCTCTCTCTCTCTCCTGGGTAGTTCATCCCCTGCACTCTTGTTGCCCCCACCCTCGTTCTCATCAATGCCGTTTCCTCGTCCGTTCCTCCTCCCCCTCCTCCTCTTGATCATGCTCCTGCTCGTGCTTCTCGTCGTCGTCCTCGTCCTCCTCCTCCTCCTCCTCCTCCTCCTGCCCCTCCTCCTGCTCCTCCTCCTCCTCGGCTATCTTGCCTTATCTCTCCTCCTTGCCTTCCTCGCATCTGCCCCCCTTTCCCCCTACCCGAAGAGTTGGAGGAGGAAGACAAACAATGAAGAGGAGGCGAGGGGACTGGGGGAGACGAAAGAAAAGGACAAGGAGGAGGAACCCGGAGGAAGAGATGGGCAGGGAGAAGGGATGAGGAGGAGGAGGAGGACGACTCCCCCGTACTGCTCCCTGCTGCCTGCCGCTCCTCCCGTGTGGGGCCTCAGCAGGACGTAGTAGCTGCCCCTCTGAGGGGGTCCCACGTGCAGGGCGGCGGGCGACGCGAGGCCGGCGGTGGGGTCCCTGCGCGGCAGGGATGATGATGTCATGGCGGCGATGATGGCGATGCTGGTGACGGTGATGCTGATGATGAAGATGATGGTGATGCTGATGATGGTCCCGATGATGATGATGATGCTGATGATGATGATGGAATCGATGCTGGTAATAGTGGTGATGGTGAGATGGACGAAGATGACGATGATGACACTGATGCGGCTGAGGATGATGCTGCTGATGATGATGATTATGATGAGGGTGATGGTGATGGTAGTGATGCTGACGGTGATGATGCTGATGCTGGTTTCGATTTTGTTGCTGATGATGATCATGATGGGGAATATTGTGTTGATGATGGTGGTGAAGGTGAGTATGACGATTGTGATGCATATTGTGATGATAGTGCTCCTTATAGTGGTGATGAGGTCGGTGATGGCAATAACGGTGAGAATGATGATACTGAAAGTGATGTTGTTGTCGTGCTCAGATGTGACGCGGAGTTGTTGGCGCTTACACAAGCCTAGCGCACGAGAGTGTGATACACAAAACGATCATTCCCGTGTGATGATGATCCTGGAGTTGATCGTGGGATGATTACGGTGGTGGGAGTCACGATGTTGGCAATGGTGACGCTGATGCGGATGAGGATGATGATAAGGGTGATGATGATGAGTGCGAGGGTGACGGGAATGAGGCTGATGATGATTGCGATGATGTTGCTGGTGACGATCATGATGGGAAATTGTGTTGATGATGGTGATGATGCTGAATATGACGTTGTTGATGCAGACTGTGATAAGGGTGATGCTTATAGTGGTGATGAGGCGGGGGAGGGGGAGGAAGAGGAGGAGGAGGAGGAGAAGGAGGAGCGGGATGTTTTTGTTTTTCCCCCCACCGCGCGCGTACCCACCATGTCAATGTCAGGTCAGCCATGTGCGTGCAGGGGAGGCGAGGTGGAGGCGCAACACAAAAAAAAAGCAAAGAGGAGACAAGCGGCATTGACGAGCACCGGCGGATGCTATGTGCGAGGAATCCGCTGTCGTTGGAGACGCCTGCTCCCATCATAATCAGACCATCGCGATCCTGAACGAATCGCCAGACCTTCACGAACCCGAAACAGCATCACCCCCAACCAAGCGACGGGCCCAGCCCAACACAGCAGCAAAGCAGAAGCAAAAACAGGGGCACGCCCAACAAAAACAAGGACACAACAAAGAGAAGGCACATCGGCACATAAACAAGTAACCGCGTTGGGAACCTGGCGCGGGGCGGCCGACCAAGAGCAGGCGACAGCCGCAGGGTGCCGCATGTGCATCGAACTTCGTCGGGAACTTAGCGCGGGCGGGTGGGCACAAAGCTCTCGGGAACAGGGCGCCCGAGGCACCGCGTGCCGTCTGCAGTCGTGTGTATCGAGTACTGACCGCCCAGCAGAGCTAGCCAGCCAACAGCCGCGTGTTGCTCCCCGTGCCGAGGGCCGACCGCCGCCGAACCGACGGGCGGGTCATGGAACCGCACTTGAAGCTCCGCGCGGCAGGGGGGCAGCGGGCGGGGGCGCGGCGAGGGGGGCGAGGAGAGGCGGCGGGCAGCCCCTCACCCAACCCCCGGCCGCGCGGGAGACGAGAGCACACGAGCAAGGACACACGATGAATGAGCAGCGAGCAGCAAGGAACAGGGCGGGAGAGACACGGGACAACAGCAAGCAAAGAAAAGAGAGCAGCAGGAGGGGCAAACCACGGGAACCGTGGATGGGGAGCAAAGCGAGGACGAGAGGGGGACACGAGACCGACGGCGGCGACGGGACGAGCCGACGGCGAGACGACGGAGGAGAACAGACAGAAAGGGCAAGGATTGGGAAAGGAAAGCAGGCAGCCAAAGGCCAGTGCCCACAAGCCACACATCCGAAACTGGGAGATCATGGCCGGCCCTGCGTTCGCCGCGAAATAATTTCGCCAGATCCCAATTTCGCCAGATCCCAATTTCGCCAGATCCCAATTTCGCCGGGACAAAATCACAACCATATTCCAATTTCGCCAGGAACAGCGGCAAATCTTAAACCAACAATCGGAGACCCACAAAGGTCGCAAAAACGGCCAATGACATGCAGGAGCAGGTGCCACAGGGGCGGGGAAATAAGGGTGCCACAGGAAAACGGGTGAACAGTGAGAGGGGGGCGGCTCCCACGGACTACCCAGGGGGGGGGGGGGGGGGGGGCAGAGGGGGGGCAGGGCATTCCGAGCAGGGGAGACTAGGCGGAGCGACCGATGCGCAATCCAGCAATTCGGGGCGGCGGCGAAACAAATCCCTCAACTGCGCCTTGACACGGAAGTCCCCTGGGACCTGGGAGCCCGCCCGACGGGCATTGCGGGCGGCCGAAAAGTCGTCGATCCGAGAGCGCGCCCCGCTACGTCGTGATTCCTCCCCCAACGTGGCCCTAGACAGCAAAACACCAACGGCCAATCGCCACCGTCTACTCCGGATTCCATAATAAAGTCGGGGGGTCACATTTGGGGGGGGGTCTGACTTGAGCTGTCTTGGAGGGTTCGGGGGGGTCTGGGCAAAGGGCCGCTCATGGGTGGTCTGGGAGGGTCTAAAACTTCTCGTCTGGGAGAGTTGAGACCCCCTCTCTTTTATTACGAAATCTGGAGTAGCTGCTCTGTCCACGAGGCAAACAGCTTTTACGCCATTGCCGCGTCGCTGGGCGCAGCTGCAGCCTGCGCGCCAGGCTCGACAGCCAGCGCGCATGGAAGAGCCTCGTCGCCCGCGGGGGGGCTCACGCCCTACAGCCATCGGCCTGACCTAAGGAACGATGAATAAGGAACGAAGCCCCTGTTTATCCCCATGAGTAACGCATAAGGATTGATTGATAATACATAGCGCATAAGGAACTGTAAATAACGCGTGTAAGCCTAAGGAACGACCGGGCCCCTCTTGAAAAGTAAGTGTTCCTTATTCAAACCGCTCACGCCCCAGACCCCGCAGCCTTCGCGCAGTCGTCCAGAACTTCGGGGCCGCGTTGCCCCGGGCTTTCGATGGCGCGCCAGGCCCCGACCAGTACCCCTGGGCACAGGACAGCGCGGACAACGCCAAAGACCTGGGCAACGCTGCTTTTTTCCGCCGCAAAAGTGATCAGTGAGCTGCTGTGGTCTCAGAGCCCCTGCGACTAGGGCCATGCGCTCGGGGAGGTTCAAACCAGGGCCGACCGCCCTTTCGAGAGAGAGCAACAACTGCAAGGTGGGCTGAAGACCAGTGAGAATGTTGAAGGTTGAAGGAACAAAAGCGGAGATCGTCGACGCAGGCTCGTATCCGTGGGATGTGTTCCGCAAGCTTCGCTCTCGTCCATCTCAAGACAGGACCCAGGACACGCGCAGGGAGCGACATCCGAGCGGGGTCTCCATGTCGAACCCCTTTCGCAACCACGAAGTCCACTGGGGATGCACGGGGAACTTACTTGCTGCAGGGCTGCGCGTGCTCACGCATCCCAGGCCAGAGAGATCCATCGGGTTCCTGGGGCACGAAGACTAGTCCCCAATGGGCTTTGAAGGCAGCAGCCGACGCTTCAAAGGACGGGCAAACATGGCCGTCGGGGTCAAAGATTTACATGGGCCAGCGCCGCCTAGGCTCATTCGCCCAGGCGCTCCGCGAGCGTTGGATCCGCGTCACCCTCTTGCTCTTCGCCTTGTCCTCGTCCTCCCGCCCGCCCAAGTCCCGCTCCTCCTCCTCGTGCCGAGCCTTTGGATGCCTGAGCCAGCGCCCCCCAGGCCAGCGACAACCGAGCAACGTTCCCTTTCGGGTTCAACACGCCGAAATGAACGGGGGGGACCCTCATAGCCTTGACGCGCAGCGAGAAGGTTCCAGTCAGCCATCCTGAATAAGCCACCAGAGCGAAGCGCGACCTTTCACATTGGGGCTTCGGGGGCCGTAGGCGCACGCGAGACCTGAACATCGGGACCATCTGCCAGGATATCTCCGTGGCCCGAGCGAATTTTCCCCTGGGGGGAACCTCCTCTCAATCTCCTGGGTCGCGCTACAACAGACCCCGCGGTACAACTCATGCTAAGAAAATCCGCCGACCCCTTGGGGATCATCGGCGTGTGAGATGCTTTCCCCCTCCCCAAACCCCTCCCCCGGGAGCCTGGTCCGGTCGATTTGGAGGGGGGGGGGGGTCGACCACGAGCGCGTCATGGGGCTCTTTCGGTCCCAAGAGGGGCTACAGACCGCCCAGGAATGCCCCAAGAGGCCTCCAAGACCGCCCACGAGCGCCTCGAAACGCCAAACGAGCGCTCGGAGACGCCCAAGGTGTGCCCAAGACAGCCCAAGAGGCCTCCAAGACGTCCCAAGAGGTCCCCAAGAGGCCTCTTGGGAGCGGCCCAAGAAGCCAAAATCGTTGATTTTCCATTGGTTTTTGAAGGAAGGGGGCCTTCTCGCCCTTTCGGCTTTCCGACGCTCCAAGACGGCCCAAGAAGCTCCCAAAACCGCCCCAAGACGGCCCAATATTCCCCCAAGACGGCCCCAAGACGGCCAGAGAGGGCCCAAAGACGGCCCAAGAGCCGCCCCAGACGGCCCAAAAGGCTCCCAAGACGAGCCCAAGAGGGGGTGAAGAGGGGGTGAAGAGCGCAAAAGTGGACCCTGCCAAACCATCCCAAGGCAAATTTCGAACCCTCGGCCCCAAGAAGCCCCCAAAAGGATCCAAGAGGCCCCCAAGAAGCCACAAATAAGCCCCAACAACCCCCGAGAGGCCCACAATAGACCCCAAGAGACCCCAGAACGGCCCCCAAGAGACTTCAAGAGTGCTCCGAGAAGGCCCCTGACAGACATACCAGGACACCTTCAAGAGGCTCCAAAGACGGCTGCAAGAGGGGGGACAATGTACATCAAGGGGTCGGCGGTGTGGCGTAAGCCCAAGAATCTATTTGAGTATCTGGGAGGGCGAGGCAGCGGGGATCCCGGTCGAGACGGTGGCGACCGACGGGGGCATTGTCAGATGGTGCCCAGGTCTTGACAGCATGCCCGACAGTGTTGACTGAGACCAGGAGATCTGTGAGGACGGGGGCAGAGAGAGAAATGTAGATGCGATCCACACGAGCCGTGCCACGCACCGTGACTTCGAATACGTCCCTCCTGGTCGGATCAAGTTGGTGCAATTCTGCCCAAGACCCACATCCCGATGCGCAGGCATCCGTCTGCTGCCGATTTCCAGCTAAACGAGACCCATCCGACCCTCCATGAAATCCCAGTCCCCTGCCATGATACAAACCGTGTGAGCAGCGGATGGGATAATGGCCTGAATCAGACCTCGGCACCTGCGATACATCCAAACAGGGTCCGAGGTGGTGGGCATGTGAACATTCAGAACACTGAGATCCCCATTCCTCCTCCTCACGTACCTTCCAAAATCCGCCCTGGGACCACCTCAGGCAAAGTGCACGCATCAGTTTTCGCCATCACCTTATTGGACAATCCCGCGACAACACCTCCACCAACAAACGGGCCAATCAAAGAGCCATGTCCAACACCGCTCTGACATCGCACAGCATGCCCGAGCATCTGTCAGCGCGTGTGCCATGCGTCTCCTGCAAACACACCACAGCAAACTTTTGCCGGCAAGCAGGGGCATCCGTGCGTACCGCGCGCTCCAAAGTGAGGACGTAGCATAAGAAGAGAAACGGCGTGAGTATCCCAAGTGCAGACACAGAGAAAGAGAGAGAGTGTGAGAGAGAGAGAGAGAGACACAACAACATTTGGGAGACAAAACCCCGTTTGCTCCCGAGGCGGGCCATCAGGTGTGAACCCTCCTCCCGAACTCAGATCAAAACAATGGTTGGCTGACTGAGCCCCACTCTGGCGAACGGAGGGTACACAAGTCCTGGGCCCCACCCCAGACAACCCTCCTCCCGAAGGAGGACCTGTGACTCGAGGAAAACGGAAAAAATATGCAAGACGGGGCGCCCGAGATTCCAAGGCAGGAGGCTCCAGGACAGCTAGGTCCCTCACACAAGGGGACGAACTTGTTCAAAGAGCGTCTGGACGCAGCCCGCATGAGCCTCCTTACCAAAGCTACGAGGAGGAGAAGGAGGAGGAGGAAGAGGAGGAGGAGGAAGAGGAGGAGGAGGAGGAGGAGGAGGGAAGTGCCCCGTGGAGGTAAGCGGGCGAGGGCGGTAGAGGCGTGAGGTTTAGGACGGTTAGCGGGCGCAGTGGGAGGAGGAAACTCAGAACGGGGAGGGCTTGAAGGACACGCCGTAAGCAGATAAAGGGCAGGAGAAGGAAGCACAACATGATACATATCATATGTGTATGGAGGAGGTTGACGAAGAGTGGTGAGAGCACGAGAGGGACGGAGGACGAGGGCGAGGACGAGGATGAAAGCAGATCAGATAAGACAACGAATGACATGTCGATGGGGAGGAGGAGGAGGAGGAGGAGGAGGAGGAGCAGGAAGAGGAGGAGAAAGTGGAGCACAATGAGTGCGCTGAGGAGGATGATGATGATGATGCTGATGAAGATGATGATGGTGGTGGTGGTTGTGATGATGATGATGATGATGATGATGATGATGATGATGATGATGGTGATGATGATGATGATGATGATGCTGATGATGATGATGATGATGATGATGATGATGATGATGATGATGATGATGATGATGATGATGATGATGATACTGATGATGATGAAGAAGATGATGATACTGATGGGGGAACCAACGGAGAAGAAGCGTGATGAGGAGAAGAGGCATCCCTCCTCCTCTTTGTCCTTCTCCTCCCTTCTCCGTATCCTCCGAAGGTAGAGGGGGGGAACACAACGATAAAGATGCCTCCGCGGCTAAATCCCAGTGGCCTCCAGAGACCTCCAGAAGCTCGCAGGAAAGCAGACCCAAACTGTAAAATACCTCCTTCCCCTCCTGGCCCTCATCCTCCTTCTCCTCCTCCTTCTCTTCCTGTCCCTCCTTCCCCTCCTTATCCTCCTCCTCCTTCTCCTCCTTTTTCTTGTCCTCCTCCTCCTCCTCCTCCTCCTCCTCCGCCTCGTCCTCCTCCTCCGACTCCGACTGATCCTATACCTCTTCGGCGATTGACCGACACAGTCGGTCGTGGGGCTGGCCTCCTCCTCCTCATTTTCCGTACCTTCCCTCCTCCTCCTCCTCCTCCTCCTCCTCCTCCTCCTCCTCCATCCTCCTGCTCCTCCTCCCTCCTCCTCCTCCTCCTCCTCCTCCTCCTCCTCCTCCTCTTCTCCTCCTCCTCCTCTCCTCCTCCTCCTCCTCCTCCTCCTCTTCCTCCTCGTTTGCGTTTGGCCGACAGAGTCGAACGTGGGGACTCACGAGCCCTGGCCTCCTCCTCCTCCTCCTCCTCCTCCTCCTCCTCCTCCCTCCTCTCCTCCTCCTCCTCCTCCTCCTCCTCCTCCTCCTCCTCCCTCCTCCTCTCCTCCTCCTCCATCCTCCTCCTCCATCCTCCTCCTCCTCCATCCTCCTGCTCCTCCTCCATCCTCCTGCTCCTCGGCCCGAGCGCGCGAGAGGCGGCCGCGCTCGCGGGGCCTGCTCACCGCCATGGGCTGGACGGAGCTGCCGCGCGACGGCAGGGCGCCGGGGACCCACCTGGGTGCTCCGCCGGTCTCGGCCCCTCCGTGGGCGGCAGGGCTGGACGGCCCCCCCGGGTGGTCCCGGCTGGCCTCAACACCCGGACCCCCTGGGGTCCTGAAGACAACATCACGACGGCAAGTGCTTCGCCATGTTCGCTCCCCGGGCGCCCTCACCGGGCCGCGGGGCCGGCAGAAGACGACGCAGGACGAGAACGTGGTCCCGAGGAGTGGGTCTGGACCTCTGGGGGTCGCGCCATGATCGGGGATGGACAGACCTCCCTTTAGTAAAACGTGGTTTAGTGAAAACGACCTGAGGCCCAAACCTGGCGGGCGCAGGCCTGGAAAATAACGGCCACGGCGCCCTCTCGAGAACCGAAAACGGACAATCCACTGATCGACGTGTCACTGTTGGGGGTTCTGTCCACCCCCGTCATGAAAACCACCGACGTCCGGGGGTCTGGGCAGGCCTCCCGGGCCGTCCGGAGCGGTCTCGACAGGAGGAGGAGGAGGAGGAGGAGGAGGAGGAGGAGGAGGAGGAGGAGGAGGAGGAGGAGGAGGAGGAGGAGGAGGAGGAGGAGGAGGAGGAGGAGGAGGAGGAGGAGGAGAGGAGAGGAGGAGGAGGAGGAGGAGGAGGAGGAGGAGGGAGGAGGGAGAGGAGGAGGAGGAGGAGGAGGAGGGAGGAGTAGGAGGAGGAGGACGAGGAGGAGGAGGAGGAGGAGGAGGGAGGAGGGAGGAGGAGGAGGAAGAGGCGGCCCTGGCGCCGCCTCCGGCGGCGCCCACCGGGCGCTCCGCGCCCCAAGGCTGGGGTGTGGAGACCGCTCCGGACTGCTCGCGTGGAGCCTGTCGAGGCCAGCCGGGACTACCGATCGGGGGGCGGTCTGCGCGCAGCCCGAAGCCTTCCACCATCCGCGGGTGGGGGCTCCTTCTGACTACCTACCAGACCACCCCAACCCAACCCGAAGACACGAATTTCGGGTTGGGGGGGGTACGGGTTCCATATGTGTTTTCTTGATGTTTCCCGCCCCCCCCCCCACTGGAAATCGAGGGTAAATCTGAGCCTTCGGGTTGGGTTGGGGTGGTTTGGTAGGAAGTGACCTTCCTCCCTGGACCCCCTCGCATCGTGAAGAATCACGACGGGCATTTTTTTGTTGCTCTTTTCTGCCTCTCGAGGCCCTCGCTGAGCCTCGGGACCGATATGGGCCTCGCGTAATGGGGGGCAGTAAATGGGTGGGCAGCGAGGGCTGCAGAAAAGGGCCCACTTATGCCCCCAAAGGGGGGCTCTGGGGCCCGAGGAGCGCACCTTTCTTCCGCCCCTTTGTATCGATCACACGCGACGCCCAATTTCTGCCTCTGGGGGCCCTCGCCGGGCCCCAGGGCCGTCAGGAAAGCCATGAAAAGCCGGTCCCGGGGGAAGGGTCGCAGCCTCCAGGGTAAGCGCGCTGTCAAACAAATATACGGGGCGGTCCATGGGACCTGGACCGTCTCCTCCCCCGCAAACGGGGGGATCAGGGGACCCTGAGATCCTGGCGTTGCACTTTTTTCACAGCGGGCGTTCTCGCCCAGTTTCGGGCCCCAGGACCCTCACAGATCGAATCGGCCGGGAAAATGGAGCAGAAAGGTGGGGTCGAAGGCTCCGGTGGTGGTCTGTCGCGGTGTTGCAGTTTTTTCGCAGCGTCGGATCTCAGGGAAGGATGGGGGAGGGGGAGGGAAGGAAGAGACGAGAAGGATGAGGAGGGGGAGGAGGGGTGGGGGACTACTGTCGGACCTAGGCCAGAAGAACATCCCTCAAGAACATGAGACCCTCCGACGGCCGAAAGAAAAAACATCTAAGGGTACCCTCCCCAGGCACGAAGAACACTAGGGCATCCTCCCCGAACCTACCTCGACTTCTACTTCGGTCCGTCTGTATTCGGTTTCGAGCCCCAGGTGGTCCGTCAGCAGTCTCCTGGCAAGATCGCGCCAATGCTCCCCGTCGCTCTGCTTCGGCACCCACGTTGTGCGGGCCCAGCTTCTGCTGGGCGCCTCCGCTGCCAGCCCAGGCCGGTAGTGGGCTGGGGGAGGCCCCCGCGAGTCCACAGGGAGGGGCTAAACTGGTCGAAGATCTGTCCAGTATTCAAGAAACTGGTTGTACATCGCCCAGGCCTCTGTACGCTGTAAGCTGCCTTCCTGATGGCTGCAGGGGGCTGCTCTCCATGGGCGGTGATGCCGTAGGTAGGAGCCGGCAGAGATCCTTGGTTCAGCATCGCCATTACTTTTTCTCTTCTCAGCCCTCTAGCTTTCTGGCCCATCGGAATCATTCTGACAGACGCCTTCCTTCTGCTCTTAAGTCGGGCGCGTCCCTCTACAGGAAGAATATTCTAAAATAGTAAGAGAAAGTCTGGTGGCGAATTTCCCAGGCATCTTCAACATATTCAAAAAAATACTCTGGAAATCCTCAACACAGTCTGGAAATAGTCTACTCGCGATCTGTGCCTCTCTACGTCTGGCTCCTCTGGCCGCGCGGTCCGTGCCCAGATCACGTGCCTCGGCAGGCTGTGGCCATGGGGCCCCTATCGGCGCTGAAATGGGCAATCGGGGGTCGAGGCGTCCCCTCCCGAGCCTCTCCCCCCTACTCGGCGGTGGACAAACCTCCCTTTAGTAGACCTCCCCTTAGTGAAAACGGCCTGGGACCGAAACCGACGGACCTGGACCCGCAAAAATGACGGCCGCGACGCGCGAACCAAAAACGGTCAATTCCTTATTAATCGACGTGTCAGGGTAGGAAATCTGTCCACCCCCGACCTACCCTTGCCCCCGAAGCCGGTCCCCTGCGCTGCCCGTCGCCAGGGCCGCGCTCGGGCCGCCGCGCACACGCTCCGGCACCAGCCGCCCCGCTGTGCCCGCTTCCCGTCTGTCCTCCGACGTCCGTCGTCTTTCGGTGGTCGGGCATCCGTCGGCCGCGCCGCTCCTGGTGCCTTGCCGTGGGGCTCCTGCTGCGCCTGTTTTAACCAGCTTCGAACTCATCCCTATCCCTAAGATGGGCGAGCAAAAAGCGAGGACAATCTTAGGGATAGGCCCTCAGAAACTGAGGGAATCCTTAAGATCGGCATCGAGGTGAGGTGATGTCAAACATAGGGATAGGGATATGTTTCAAGCTGGTAATGTTTTGCTGGACCTGGGACAGAAGAACATCATTGAAGAGCATGAGGCCCTCCGCCGGCCCAAGACTGAAGAACATTCGAGGGTACGCTCCCCCAGGATGCGCCCGAACATCCAACAAGAGCACGAGGCCCTGCACCGGCCCACACTGAAGAACATTCGGGGGTGCCCCCCCCCCAGGATGCGCCAGACCGTGCAACGGCACACGCACAGGGTACCCTCCCCGAGCCGACCTCGATCGGATACCTCGGCCTGACCTTGCGGCAAGGGCCTGACGCACGCACGCACGCGCGGGGAGAGAGACCATCGCCGCCCCCTGCGGCGCTCGGTGGGCGAGGGCGGGGTGCACGAGAAGGGCCTGGGCCTGGCCAGAGCAAGCGCGGCCACCCGCAGCGCAGACCGCGGAGCGCGCGCAGCCTCTGCAGCGACCTCGAGCTTATGCGCCGGGCCGGCTGTGAGGCAAGCGCCGCTTCCCGCTGCCGCTCCTCGCGGTCCCGCCGGCCAGTCCCTTCTCCTCGTCTGCCCCGTCCAGCGGCGGGGGAGGGGCCACTGCGCAGCGTGTAGAGCGGCTTGTGCTTGCGCAGGACCTGGCAAGGTGGGGGGGGCGCGATCCACTGGCGGCACCAGCTTTCGAGACGCCCCAAGAGCAGCCCAAGGGCCACCTTCCCACGACGGCCCGAGGGGCCAAACACATGACTTACCTGTAGGTTTGTCCGTTTTTGGAGGCTCTCCACGTTTCTATAGTCCCCGACGCTCCAAGACGTCCCAAGAGGCCCCAAAGACCGCCCAAGACGGACACAGAGGCTCCGAAGCAGGCGTGTTAGACGATTGGCCATGCCGTGCTCTACAATGCATCGCGTACCCTTTCGGGATCATTGCCCTGCTCGACATCCGACTGTGCGAGTAGAGAGGGGATCTGTGCCATGGTAAGGGATGGGAGGGAGGGGTAGGATGTCAGATATGACGCGAGCGCACCTAGCTTGCCCTTTCCCCCTCCCTCAGGGTCCCAACTCTGATTTGAAGGGGGTGTATCCGGGCTCCCCGGCGCACCCCTGGAGACCCTGGAGTTTCCAAATCCGCCTGCCGTGGCCTCGAAGACGGTCCCAAACGGTCCCGAATCGCCGACCGATTGGCCCAAGACGCCTACGAGGGCTCCGAGGCCCCAATACGCCTTCGAGACTCCCCAAGACAGGCCCAAGAGCCTTCCCAAGAGGGCCCCGAGAGGCGAATATCTCCCTTGTTGTCCTATGGTTTTTCATTGTTTCTGGGGCTATCGTCTTCTCGACCTTTGGGCGCTCCAAGACGGCCCAAGAGGCCCCGTAGACCAACCCCAAACTGCCCTAGAGGCCCCTGCGAGGGCCCCAGAAAGGCTCAAAAGGGTTCCAAGACGGCCGAAGGGCCAAAGACGGCCTAAAGATCGCCCCAAGAAGGCCCCAAGAGAGGCCAAAAGGAAACCGAAAATCCCACCTTTCCGCCCCAAGACGCCTCCCAAAGGCCCCAAGGAGCCCCCAAGCGGCCAGAGGCCCAAAAAGAGCCCCAAGAAGGCCCCAAAAGATGCCCCCAAGAGGCCCGAAAGCGGCCCCCAAACGGCCCCCAAGACGCTTCAAAACTGTATGCAAGAGGCTCCGCCAGGCGCCCAAACAGCTCCCAAGACGCCCACAAGAGTCCCCAAAGAGTGCCCAAAACTTCCACGTCGCCTCAACCGTGGACTCCCCGCCTCTTCTGAGGGTCGGCAAACTGGCGTAAAACTCTTGAGTCCGCCTGCCCACCGGGCTGAGGGGCGTGTGGGACTTACCTGGGAGAGCTCCTTGCAAAACTTTAGCCGCCATTCCGCCGCGCGGCTGCATCCCATCCCCTCTTCGGGCCCCAAGACGGCACGAAGATGGTTTTCAAGACAAGCTCGATTCTCAGATTGTTTTGGAGACGCTTTCGGGGCAAATGTTCGATCCAATTCGCCATCTTTGGGGCGCCTTCTTGGCATCCAGAATTGGTCCCTGGGGCTCTCCAGGGCGCCTCCTGGGTCCAACTCCACGTGCAAACTGGAAACCAAAAACATATAGCAAATACCGTAGGTTGTCGATGAACTCAGCCTCGCCGTGGGGCGCCCGGACGCCTTCAACAATTTCCTGTCGGGCTCATCCGGGATATTTTCCTGCATGCGGAATTCGACGACGTATTTGGGCACGCTCTGGAAAATTATCCTGGCGAGTGACCCAACCATATGAAGTTGTGAGTAACGCGTTGTGGGTGCCGCTTTCGGCGGGGCTCCCTATGGGGCCACGAAGCGCGTAAGGGACGTGCTGTAATGGGTGGGGGCGACGCATGCGGGCGGTGCCACTGCGGTTTTCGCTGGGGCTGCCTATAGGCCACAGAACGCTGTGCTGGGTGTGGCTGACGCATGCGGGCCGTGCCCCTCGCTGGAGCTCCCGATGGGGCCACGAAACGCTGTACTGGTTGGTGGGAACGCATGCAGGCGGTGCCGCTGGGGTCTTTTTGTGGAGCTCCCTACGGGGCCACGCAGCGCTGTATTGGGTAATGGCCGACGCATGCGGGCGGTCCCACTGGGACCTTCGGTGGAGCTCTCTATGGGGCCACGGGAGGGGGGGACGCATGCGGGCGGTCCCACTGGGACCTTCGGTGGAGCTCCCTATGTGGCCACGGGAGGGGGGGACGCATGCGGGTGGTGCCACTGGGACCTTCGGTGGTGCTCCCTATGGGGCCACGAAGCGCTGTAGTGGGCGAGTGAATCGCAGGGAAGAAGGACTGTGCTGGGCGGTGGTTCGCGCATGCGGGTGGTCCCAGTGGGACCTTCGGATGAGCTCCCTATGGGGCCACGACGCGCTGTACTGGGTGGGTGAAACGCAGAGAAGAAGGGCTGTGCTGGGTGGTGGTTGACGCATGCGGGCGGTCCCACTGGGACCTTCGGTGGAGCTCCCTATGGGGCCACGACGCGCTGTACTGGGTGGGTGAAACGCAGAGAAGAAGGGCTGTGCTGGGTGGTGGTTGACGCATGCGGGCGGTCCCACTGGGACCTTTGGTGGAGCTCTCTATGGGGCCACAAAGCGCTGCACTGGGTGGGCGAAACGCAGGCAGGAATTGCTGCGCTGGGTGGTGGTTGACGCATGCGAGTGGTCCTACTGGGACCTTCGGTGGTGCTCCCTATGGGGCCAGGGAGCGCTGTATTGGGTGGGTGAAACGCAACGGGAAGCGCTGTGCTGGGCGGTGGTTGACGCATGCGGGCGGTCCCAGTGGGACCTTCGGTGGAGCTCCCTATGGGGCCACGACGCGCTGTACTGGGTGGGTGCAACGCAGGGAAGAAGGGCTGCGCTGGGTGGTGGTTAACGCATGCTGGCGGTCCCACTGGGACCTTCGGTGAAGCTCCCTATGGGGCCACTAGACGCTGTACGGGGTGGGTGAAGTGAAGAGCAAGGAGGAAGGGCTGTGCTGGGTGGTGGTTGACGCATGCGGGCGGTCCCACTGGGACCTTCGGTGAAGCTCCCTATGGGGCCACTAGACGCTGTACTGGGTGGGTGAAACGCCGGGAGGAGGGAGGAGGGGGAGGAGGGAGGGGAAGGAGGGAGGAAGGAGGCGGGAGAAACGAGGGGACCGTCTCTTCAAAACGAGGACCCAACACCACAGGATGGTTGGAGAAACAATTGATGATTTCGGGCCCAAATTAGGCCCCCAAACAGCTTAGATCTGGCCCGGTATTTGGTGGAATCCGGACCGGGTTGCGGCCCAAAACGAAGGTGCTGCCGCTACAGCCGTTCAGGGGCTCCCTTGGGCTGCCTCGGGTCCATCTTGAACGCTGTAAAATTTATTTTTGGAGCCTTGTTCAGCCTTCCGTGGCTGCGTTTGGCTGTTTTTGAGCTGCCTTTGGCTGACCTTTGCAAAAATCACGCTCTTTTTGCTGCATGGCATATTACTTTTGGCTTTCTACTACATTAATCCAACTTCCCCCCATAATCGGTTCAGATCCGGCCCGGTTCTTGATGGAATACAGACGGTTTGCTTTTCGATGTCCTTATTGAGTCTAGCTTCCATAGTACGGCTCCAGGCGTACAACTTTTCAACATAGCTTATTTGAACATTATTTCTGTGGCATGGCTTATTCCGCTTGTACGGCGTATTGCATATGTTTTGCCATTGGCATTCAGTGCCGCTTATTTGGTCTTCCTTATTTCGTATAGCTTCTTTGACATGCCCACTTTAGACTGGTCCCTTCGGCATGACAGCTTCCGTTTGTGCGGTGTCTTCTGCTTTGTTTTTTTTGTCTGTTGCTTAGAACCGCTCATTCCGAATTGCTGATGTCATAGTCCTGGCTCCATGTGGCTTCTTCGATATGGATTGTTTACAGTGATTTAGTTGGCATTGCTGCATGAGCGTGCTTCTCGAGCATGGCTTCTCTGGCGATGGCGTACTCCGTTCGCGCGGCTTCTCTGCATTGCTTCTTTATGATGGCTCATTTGGTATTGCGACTTCAATCTTGCTTCTTGAATGTTTCTGCTTCAATGCTGCTTCATTGTGATGGCCTTGGCAACGTGCCTTACCTCTTCAACATGGCTTCTTTCGCGTGGCTCATTCAATGCGTCGCCTTCAGCATGGCGACTTCCGATTATACAGCTTCTTCCGTCTGGCCCTCCGCTATTCCGCCGCCCGGCTCCATCAATGCCCCTTTTCGGACCCCAAGGCGACTCCAAGACGGCTTCCAAGACGAAATAGATGTGCACATCGTTTTGGAAACGCTCTCTTGACATTTTGGCTCCATTTCGGCCCCTTTTGGGCCCTTTCTTGGTCTGCAAAATGTGTTCCCGAGGCCCTCACGAGCGCCTCTTGAGCCCGACTTCACGCACATACTGAATAACCCCAAAATGCAACACACACACACACACACACCAAAAGTTGTTGATGAGTTTGGCCTCACCGTGAGTCGCCCGGCACCTCTAACAGATGACGTTCGGGCTCGTCTGGGGTAGCTTTTCAGCATGCAACCTTCGACCACGTCTCTGGGTGCGCTCCGGGACCGATTTGGGACCATTGGGGGCCCAACGTGGGCCCCAACATGAAGCCAAAACCGACCAAGATCCAGCCCAGCTTGGGATGGAACTCAGACGGTGTTGCGGCCCAAAGCGGATGTGCTGTTGCTTCGGCCGTCCAGGGCCCTTCTTGGGCGCTTCGTGGGCCCTTTTCCGAACCCTCTTCGGCCCGTGTTGCCCGTGTTGGCGCCATTTCGCAGTTATTCGGCCGTCTTTGGCCTACCTGTAGCAGTGTTCAAGCTACTCATGGCCTCCTGCTGTGGATGGGCGGCAAGTGTCCAGGGGTCCGCTTCCACTGATCCGTTGGTAATGATGACGGGCCGTCGATCAGACGAGACTGTCTTGTCATCGGCCCGCCCCGCGCCATACCTCAATCCAGCTGGCGATGGGGTTGAGGAGAGACGGAGCACAAGGAAACATACCCCAAAATCCCGCAAGGCGTTTTCACGATTTCCAAACCATGTCCTTCCCATCTTGGAGTCGTCTGCGCTTCCGCGAGAGCTGGTATGGGCGGGCGGTGAACGCGAAGCATCACGAATCATGAATCAATGAATCAGGCATGCCAGCGGGTGAAGAACAGCGGAAGATGGAGGAGTGAGAACGGAAGATGAAGCAAAGAGTAAACCTGATCGCACCTGAATTCAGCAGACCCATCGAACCAACAAATCGTGCTAGACAGAATCTGGAGAGACGTGTGCCGCTGAGCTCTGAGCTTCCTGAGGTTCCCCAGGGCTTCTGCGGGCCCTCAGAGCCACGGGGAAGACGAGAAGCTTCCGCGGGGCACCTGCTGACAGGCTGGATTCTTACATGACGTGCATACTTGAAGGGGCCCTGGGACACACAAATAAATGCACACAACTAACATGCTTTCCCATATTTTCCAATTTTTGTTTCGTCTTCCCCCCGCTTCCCATATTTTCGCGTATTTTTTTCCTGGGGATCGACGATTCATTGTGTCTGTGTGTTTTTTGCCCTCCTGAATACTGTCTGAAAGAGAGACAACGGAGTGGTGACAGCCACGCCAAAGCCGGCCGCGGCGCTCCGATGGCACGCCAGGGGGACATCCCGAACGATGACGCACCTGGGAGCCGCGTCCTCTACGGCGAGCCCCTGGGTACTCCTCCAGGAAGACCGTGGTGGGAGGAAGGGGCAGGGAGGGGAGGAGGAGGAGGAGGAGGAGGAGGAGGAGGAGGAGGAGGAGGAGGAGGAGGAGGAGGAGGAGGATGGGGAGGACGAGGAGGCGGAAGGGCTCCTCTCCTCCTCGCCCTTCTCCTCTGGAGGTCTTGGGAGGCTCTGGAGGCATCTGGGGGGCGCCGAAGGTCCTAAAGAGCTCAAACGCCTGCATCATCATCTTTCGGGGTCGGACTGACCCGGGTCAATGCAAACCCGGGTCAATCAGGCCTTGCAGGATCCCGCGCGCTAGCCAGGGTCAGTGCGCCACAGGCTCTGCAGGATCCTGCCAGACCTGGCGCTCTGGCTTACCCCCGTGTGCAGTGACCCCCGTCTCTAGGCTCCCGAATCTTATCGCTGCTCATTGCCCGCCGCGTGCAGACTCCTCCTCCATTACTCAGTTCTTCAATTCCGACCCGTCGGCATCAAGGGGCTGTAAGACTGTGCTGGATGCCCTCCCTCCCATCTGCCTGCTTCCCGCTGTTCCTCCGCCCGCGCCTCCCGCTGCTCCTCCCTCTCTCCCCTCCTCCTGCCCCTCCCCGTCCTCTGGCCCCCCCCCCCGTCTGGAGCTGCCCCCCCCCCCCTCCCCGACCCGCCCCTCTCCGGCGGTCCGCCTGTGCTCGGGGGGCCCCCTCGGGCTAGGCTTCCCCCGCCGGCGTGCGCGCGCACAGCACCCTGCAAGATGGCGCTTCAGGTGCAGCGTGGGCCTCATTCCAGAACTGGCGCTCTGCTCCAGTCGTTCCGATTGGCGCTCTGGCCAAAGCGCGGGCCATTTTTCGGACCTCGGGATAGAGCATAGAGACACCGAGGCCGAGAGCTACGGACTCGCGGAGCTCTCATGTAGCCCTTGGCCAATCGATTCAGTTGGATCCACTATACCCCGCATCTGACATGTGCCAACATTTCGTGGTGTTGGCCCCTCATGCGTTGCATCACGCACAGTCCGCGATTCGACAGGATCGCCAAACCCCCCAGCAGCAGTCAGATGCAGGGGGGGTCGACACTTTCCTTTTGAGGACAGCACACCTTTTGAGAAAAGTACATTTTCACGAATCGAGGGTAAGAAGGTGGGTGGTCTGTGAAGATTAAGGAGAAAAGAGCCAGAACCTAAGCCAAACATGCAAACGTGCAGACCACTGCCAAGGGAAGATCGTTCCCCCTCTCGGAGCGACACCTCCGTAGAGCCTTGATTCGTGGGGATCTCCAAGGGGCGTGGGGTGAGCAGGGGGTAAAGGCCAGCGAACGAGATAGTGAGGTGGAGCATCGCAAGGCGGTCCGCACCAAGCACCTCATCATCGCAATTATCCACCATCCCCCGGTGTAGGTCACGAGGTTGGTATCCCCATTCATGGACAAACACCACAAATTGGCTGGTGAAAGAAACCACCCGTGCCCTAACTGACAGCAGTTACTATCCTCTTCTTCTTCCTCCTCCTCCTCGTCCTCCTCCGTCCTCCTCCTCCTCCTCCTCCTCCGTCCTCCTCCTCCTCCCCCTCCGTCCTCCTCCTCCTTCTCCGTTTCCTCCGCTTCCTCCTCTTCCTCCCCTTCCTCCTCGTCCTCCTCTTCCTCCTCCTCGTCCTGGTCCTGGTCTTCCTTCTCCTCTTCCTCCTACTCCTCGTCCTCCTCCTCCTCCTCCTCGTCCTCGTCCTCCTCCTCCTCCTCTTCCTCCTACTCCTCGTCCTCCTCCTCCTCCTCCTCCTCCTCCTCCTCCTCCTCCTCCCGCTCCTCTCTCTGCTCCTGGTGGCCGCGGCACGGCCGAGGCCGCCGCAACGCCCCAGCCTGGCGGGGACACCAGCGACGCAAAGCTGCCGAAGCTGGCGTTCGGCGGGAAGGCGACCACGGCCGTGGCCGAGCTGCCGCCCTGGCGGAGGACAGCTGTCTGATGACCAGAGTGTGGGCGCGGAGCAGCGCGGCGGCCGGGCTCGTTCGTCGCGGTGCGCTCGAGAGGCTCACGCGCTGGATGCGCGCGCGCAGATGGGGCCAGTTCCGGCGAGCCCTCGCGTCGTGGGGGGGAGGAGGAAGTTCTCGTTGGCTCTGGTACGTTGTCTCCCCTCGAGGTGCGTTCCAACGTCGAGAGCGTGCCAGGGGTGCCCGGATCGTCACGAACGGCCGCCGGAGGATATGGCCCGAAAGCCAGAAGGCGTCCAAGAAGGCGCGAGCGGCCACGTTGCGCGTCGAGCTCTCGCCCAGGCGGGCCACGCCGCGTGAAGGTTATCTGCGGGCCAACCCCGTGGCCGCCCTGGCGGGCGGTTGCGCGATCCTCTGGGTCACGGCAGGGTCACCCAGGAGCTCGTCTTTGAAAGGGATCCTGGCCCACGACGGTGGGAGGAAGGGGAGAAGGGACAGAGCTGGGCAGAGGAAGGGGAGGAGATGGCGGAGGAGAAGGAGAGGGGGGCGGAGGAGGCGGCGGAGGAGCGGGACCAGGAGCAGGAGGAGCCTGAGGAGGAGAGGTGAGGGTGGCATACGACGGGCGTGGGGGGCTGGCTGCAGAGAGGAAAGGTGCAGACCGCATCCTTCCATGAGCTCTGAGCCCTGAGGCACGAGGAAAACAGGTTGAGTAAACGCGACGAGCATGCAATCGAACGACATTTGCCTCTTACCCTTGCCAACGTCCTCACGTTGCATGCGGAAACAAGTTCAACCTCAACGGCGTAAACTGATTGCCACTCACTGCGCCACTGGCTTGGGGTCATCCGTTCCCCGTCCCTCCCTCCCTCCCTCCCTCTCTCTCTTTCTCTCGATATTTTCTGATTATTCACACACATATATATTTATATACATATATGTCGACACATGATGTATACACAAATGCTACTAAAAACTGCGTGCGCATACATACATACACCCCTGGATGAAACGCGCTTCGGCCCCAAAATCATATCCAGACCAGACGACGACGATGGCTAGACGTCGGATGTGTCTTCAATCTTATTCAGCGCTACGCGCTGGGCCGGCTCGCGGACACCGCGAAGAGTGCCTGAGGGGTCGCTCCCCGAAGGATGCCGGAGCCGATGGTGCCATCAGATCCGGCGAAAAAAAACTGAATTACCGATTTACTGGGCCCCAGCAGCGCACAGGAGGCTAATGTAGTAGGTCAATGGCACAACACCGTCGAGACTCTGAATAATGATAAAAGACGGTTCCTATCGGTACGAATTTTCCGTGGACGAGTGCGAGGAAGAAGAAGGAAGGGAAGGAGAAGGGGGAGAAGGGCGAGAAAAGGACTACAGAAGCACTACGATGGGGGATATACTGCGCAGGCACTTCTTACATCCCCAAATGCAACGTGCTTCGGCCCCAAAACAAGGCCCGGACAAGACGACGACGATAGCTAGACGTCGGATGGGTCTTCAATTTGATTCTGCGCCACGCGCTGGGCCGGCTCGCGGACACCGCGAGAAGTGCCTGAAGGGGTCGCCCCCAGAAGGATGCCGGAACCGACGGTGCCATCATATCTGGCGAGAATCTGAATTGCCGAGATTCCCGGGAGCTGCTCTCGCAGGCGCCTGCCAGACGCGGTCGTCCGAGACGCGGCCGAACGAGCGGACGAGGCTGGCTGGCTTCCGCAACTCTCCAGCGACACCCACCTCCCGCGCTGCTGGATGTCCTCCAGCGCCGCCTTGTGGACCAGGGGGTCGTGGCTCGGACCTGCATGCCGAAGGCCATGAGCCACCATCGGAGAGCCCGGGGCCGTGTTCGTCTCCCTCTAGAGCATCTGAAGCGACGCAAGGGTGAGGCCGCGGAAGACAAGCTGATCGGCTGGGAGGTCACGCGCGAGACGCGCCAGTCGGTCGCGCGTCCATCCGCAGTCGTGGGCGCCAACCACCACGCTAGCGTCGAACCTCCGGTTCTCGGCTGCCGGGCCTCCGCGCGGGGCGATCGCCAGCGCTCGCCCCTGCGCGGCGGCCCCGCGCCTCGGTCGGCTGACCGCGGCGCCCGCCAGCGCCAGCCCTTCCGACGGCCTCAGGCGGCAGTCGACGCAGAGCCACGCGCGCGCTGCGGCCGCGGCGCAGAGCAGGAGCTGGTCGCCGACGGCCCGACCCAGGAAGCAGTCGATGGCAATGTAACCCTGCCCCATGCGCGGCGGGTCTCGGCAGTGCTCCGGCGAGGAGCGCGCGAAGCCCAGCTGCGCCAACTGCGACCTCGGCCTGAGAGAAGGGTCTCTCCTCGGCCACTCGTTTACGAAGACGACGCCGTGGGAGGCGCATCTGGCGATGGAAACGCGGTCGCCGGCCAGGTGGACCTTCCCGACGCAGTCCTCGACGGCCCGGCCCCGGGCGCCCACGTCGCTAGCGGGCGGCGGGGGCTGCCCGAGGGAGTGCGCCACGTCGGCGTGGGAAGCCTCGTAGCTCTTGCGCGTGATGGCCGTGGCCGTGAGCATCTTGAGGAAACCTCGCTGCTCTGCCCCATGCTGGCGGCCCCGCTGGCCGCGGCGCCGCTTGCGAGTCCTCCGCTCGGCCGCAGGACGCCGAGCTCCTTCCCCAGGTCGAGGCCGCCCCAGGAGCGGCTCGCCCCCTCCAAGCCGAGCGTGGCCCGCCGCGGGAGGACCAGGAGCGCCGCCGCGGCACCTGGCCCGGGCGCGGCTGAGCTGGCCGCGCGGCGGAGCTCGCCCCCCCATGTGGGGGCCAGGAGGGGCTCGCCCGGCCAGCAGTGTACATTTCGCGGGGCGGCGCCGGAAGATAAGCCGCAGCGCGCGAGGTCCGCCATCGCCAGCCCGCGCCCTCGAGGAAGACAGAGCCTTGCAGGGCGACGTGCAGCTGACAACCTTTGCATCGCCTGGCAGCGCGCGCGAAACTGGGGACGTTGCTGCCAAGGCCTGCCGACTTCTTCCAGGCCGCGCCGCAGGCGCACGGGTGGGCCTCGCGCGGCTCGCATCCCAATCGCCGCGGCCGTCGGGCCAACGGCTGCCGCTTCCAAAGCCCAGACGACCAAAGGCTTTCCTGCGCCACCAGCACGCTGTGAGCAACGCGCCCCTGAAGGATGCGGACGGTGAGCCTTGCGCACTCGAGGCCATCCTTCTCCGTCCGACCAGCTCGCGCTGAGCTCCATCGGGCACGCGGCGTGCCCGAGGCGACGGCCCAGACGGGGCCGCTCATGATCCAGCCGACGACCGCGCCCGCGACGGCGGGCAGGATGACGCCGAAGCGGGGCCGCCCGCGACGTCGATCGGCACCGCCGCGGCCAGACCCTGGAGCGCCACCGCCGCCGACAAACGCATGCACCCAGCGAAGATCTCGAGAAAGACCTCCCCGCGGCGTCGCAGGCCGGGCGGGCGACGCATGTCGGCCAGAGGCGGGCGCGCTGGCCGACCAGGCCGCGCCGCGCGGCCGCCCGGCTCCCGTCGGCCGGGGGCGGCGCCGACAGCGGCGAGACCTTCTCGGGCCGGGGGAACGTCGCCTTCCGCCTCGCCGTCCAGCTCCGTCGCCATGGCGACGCCCAGCAGCGGTCCGTCGCCATCGGCGTCGCCTCGGTGGGCCCCATCAGCTCCGACGCCGCTGTGACCTCCAGTCGCAACCGGCCGCAGGCGGCCCGCGTCGAGGGCCGCGGCGGCCCGGCCGCGGCGGACCTCTCCAGCCCTGAGGTGAGGCAGCCGTGAGGCGTAGTCGCTTGGGTTGCTGTCCGGCTCGATGTGGCGACGAGCCCAGCGAACGCTGGCGGCCGCTTGTTGGCGGCCGCTTGCAGGGCGGCCGCTCTCCGCGCAATGGCCAGGAGCTCCCGCGACCTCGCTCGGCCGCGGCCCATCGCGAGGACCGCCGACATGTTGTCCCCGAGCGACAGCAGCACGTGCGAGTGGTTCGCAGGATCTCAACAGTAGTCCTCGAGGCCCATGACTGCAGCGCGCGCCTCGAGGTTGCGGACCCTGTCAGGTCGGCGCCACGCGCCGACGGCCACGGCGCGCCAGCGGCCAGGCTCGCCCCAGCTCGGCGCGGGCCGGGGCACGCGGCCAGCGACCTCCACAAGGTCGGCCTCGGGCGCGAGTGCCAGCGGCCCAGTCGGCGGCGGCGCAGCCAGCAGGAAGTCCCGCGCGTAGGCCGCGAAGTCGCCGGTGACCACCGCGCCCCCGGCGCCTGGTACCAGCGCGCCACGTTAGCCATCACGTCGATCCTCTGGCAGCGGCCTCTCATAATGCTGCGCAGCCCCCCAGGCTTCCTGCGGCTCCGCGTCGGTGATGTGAGCTGCGCAGACTCGGGAGCTGGAGTCGGAGCAGCGCGCGACCCGCGCGATGCCCCTGCCCAACTCGGAAGAGGCCAGCGCCAGCATGCCCTTGGGCGACCTACAGCTCCACGACCACAGCCCCGTCGAGGGGCCGAGGTGGACCCGGCCCGTTGCCCAGGAACTGGTAGACGGAGCAGTGGCAGCTGAGGAGCTCGTGGCGCCCGCTGAAGCGACCAGGTGGCCGATGAGCCTGCGAAGTTGGCAAGGCGCGATCCGCTCCAGCTGGCAGACCTCGTCGATGGCCAACCGCAGCCGCCACATCCGCCTCGGCCTGGGGATGAGGCTGCGCCGCCGCCCCTTGATCAGCCTGCCGACGACCTCGTAGTCGGTCGCGGGCTCGGCCTCCCCGTGGAGCACGAACCCAACCCTGGTGAGCTCGTCCTGCAGCGCCTTGGACAGTTTGAGCGCGGCCTCGGGCCCCCCGCCGACGATGTTACCGTTGTCGACGTTTGGGGCCGCGACGGCGGCGGTCCTGCCGAAGGGCGGCGCTGACCCCCAGTCCTTGCGGGCGACCTCTGAGAGGCCCAGCCGCCGCTGCGCTCGGCGCGACGCCGCCCCCAGGCTACCGCGGCAGAAGAACGTCGCCCAGCTCCAGCCCATCGGCAGCCTGCCACAGCACGCCCATCGACGGGCGCAAACTGCCGCGCATCGTCGTCGCGCGCCTCCGCGATGCCGATGTCGGAGGCGGTGGCCGAGGCGACGCTGTCGGCCCGGAACTGGCGGCGCCCGCCTTGGAGGTCCATGCCCGTGCAAGAGAGCTCGAGCACGTCGACGCCGTCGGGCCCCTCGTCGCACGCCAGAAGACCGGCGGCCGAGAGGCGGCGCCACTCCTCAGCCAGCACGAGGTTCGAGAGTGCGCCTGGCGTGGCCAGCTCTGACTTCGGCTGTCGCCGGTGGAGCTGTTCGTCCGCCTTCAGTCCAGCGCAAGCCTGATGGCGTCGTTCTTCTCGACGAAGAAGGCGCCGCACTCGCAGCGGGCGCGTCGCCTCCAGGAGATGAGGCACGCGCGATCCAGCCGCCGAACAGAGTCCCTGCGGGCCCCGAGTGAGCCTCCCAAGCGGGGGTCCCAATGCGACACCGCGGGGTCCTGATACTGCGCCAACTCCGCCGGCGGCAACACGATGAGTGAATCTGGCCCTCGAGGCGCGGCCGGCGCTCGTCGCCCGCCAGGCCCATCGCGTCGACAGGAGCACCGGACCGATGCAGGGCGGCCAACTTGGACGGGTCGCGCGCTGCCACGGTGCCGTCGTCGCCCACGTCGTCGATCGACTTCCACTCGATGATCTCCTGAAGCGCCACCTCCGGGAACTCGGCGCGAAGGTCTGGCGTCGGGAGGAAGTCCGTCGTTCGATTTCGTTGAGCATCCCATCCTGCGCGGCGGAGATGCCCTGGGACAACAAACTCAGCTGGGCGGCTCAAGCACGAGCGCCCGCCCCGGCTAACATCTGGCCATGGCATTGGGCGACGCCGCGGCCCCTTCCACCAGCTCCTCCGATCGCGCCCGCTGGCGCCGTCGCTGGGGCAGGTGGCAGACGCCGCCTCCACATCCCGCCGCCCCAGGAAGGCGCGGGGATAGAAGAAAAAAGGCCAGCGACGACCATCGCGATCTCACGGTCAGCTCCCGCCCCGAGCGACTGGCGCGGCAGGCGCCAGTCACTTGTCCTTCTCCCTGCTGCCTTTGGAGCCCGAAGGGCCCTTGCGCTTTCGCGGTGCAACCGCTGCTTCTTCGCGGCGAACGCCTTCGACTTCTGCCCCTCCGCTGCCCACCTCGCGAACTTCCCCGCCAGCGCGCCGCCGGAGAAATTGCGCGCAGACACGGCCATGAGCGACGCCCCTTTGGGGCCGCGGGCCACCGCCCGGTGGATCTGGCAGCGCCGTCCGCGAGCTGGCCCGCATTCAACTGGTCGAACGCCACGAGGTGGTGAAGCACCGAGAAGAAGTCCCGGTGCTTGAGCGCCACCGCGCGGTCTGGGTTGACGCCCGACGACCTCGCCCAGCGCTCGTGGAAGCCCGGCAGGTCCTCGTTGGCTGCCCGCGCCGCCGCGAGCGCATCCTGGATCGCCTGCGGCCCGGCAAACGGCCAGCCCGCGGGCGGCGGGTCCGTCAAGAAGGTCATCTCGGCGATCGCACCCTTCAGAGGGGCGATGCGGGCGCGGCCCATGTCTCTCTGGATCGGCAGGGTGCGAGCGTCTCGGCCGCAGCCGCTGCTCTTCTCCGCTCGCCAATCCTCGAGGTCCTGGGCCGCCGGCCGCTCCGCGAAGGTGCAGCGCCGTTCGCCGTCGTCGCCCCCCTCGGCCAAGCCCGCGCCCCCTCTGATCGCCATGCAGAAGGCATTCCGAATGATCTCCACCAGCGCGACCTCCCCGGAGTGCTCGTGCGCGGGGTCCGCGAAGCGCCGCCCAGTGATGAGTGCCTGGCCCCCGGGCTGGCCCGCAGGGGCGGCCGCTCCCGCCGGGCGGAGGACGTCCGCCAGCGCCGCCGCCCCCTGACGGGCCGCCTGCAGCACCCGTCGAACCGATCGTTCCCGCACACTTCCCCCGCGATCCTCGAAAGGTAGGGCGCGCCATGGGCGACTGGCACCCCGATATGCCGCGAGAGGTCGAGCACCACCACCTCGAGGTCCAGCGACAAGGCTATCCAGCGTAGGTCGTCCAACCGATGCTCTAGGTTGCTGACGTGCCAGTGGGAGTTGGGGACGTCCTCGAAGTTGATGGCCACCATCATCTCGTGGATGTCGGCAGCTCGCGCCATGGCTCCTGCTTAGCGTCAGCCCGCAGCTTTGCGGCAGCTTGACCTCCAGGCTGCCGACACGCCCGCGCCCGACTCGAAAGCAGCCGAGCCCGAGGAGGCCACCGATGACGGCGATCGCCCAGGCGGCGCCGCCGCGGGCAGGGCGGCCGCGCGCTGGCTGCCAGCCGGCGGCCCCGACTCCACCGTCGCGAGCGGCGCCCCGCTGCGGCGTTCCGGCTGCCCGCGGCCGGCGCACAGCCGGCCAAAGAGGAACGCGAGCGGCAGCAGCCCCCAGCCGCCGAACGCCACCGAGAGCGACCAGCCTTCGCCACATGACGCCGATGAGGCCGCTGGGCGCTCGGGCGTCGGCGCCCCAGCAGGCGCGCAGCTGCACGCTACCGCCGGGCACTCCGCCGTGCGCTCCGGGCACGGCGCACAGCCCAGCGATCAAGCTGGGCAGACAAGTCGTGGTTCGCACACGCCCAGAGGCTGCTCGGGAGCAGGGGCCCGCGATTGCCACCCTCCGAATGAAGCCGCCGCGATCTCGCGCGCGAAGGAAGGGAGATGCGCGGCACCCCAGGCCATGCAGGTCCAGGGCTCGAGAACGGGACTACAGAAACACTCGGATGGGGGATGCACTGCGTAGGCAGTTCTTATGTTTTTTATATGTATGTATGTTTGTTTGTTTGTATGTATGTATGTATGTGTGTATATTGATATCTGTATGCGCGCGTGTGTGCGTATGCCTTCTGCTATTTGACACACAGGACGCATGTTAGCCAGCGTGGGCAATGGGCACTGCGTTTCTAGCAACATATACTTATGTATGCATAGATATATGTATGTATGCGTATGCTGTTACATTGCAACGAATGTGGAGTCAACTCTCATTTGTACCCTGAGCGGTGCCAGACGGGTTGTACAATCAACGTTGCGAATTACAGTTTTGTGCAGTGTATGTATATATGTGTATATATATATGTGTATATGTACATACATATAGGTGGCCCAGCATGTTTGCACCAACCTATGTTGTCCAATATCGGCGGTGCAGTATATGATCTGCAACCTACGTTGTGTACTATATGTGGTGCGATCTGTGTGGTGTATTCCATCAGGTGAGCAATATAGGTGGTGCAGTCGGCGTGGTGCAACAGATTTGGGACAATAGTTGTTGTGCAACCTATGGAGTGCAATATGTACGGTGCAAATCTATTTGGTGCACTCTATGTGGTGCGCAATATTTGTCGTGCGCAATAGATGTGGTGCCTTCTATGTTTTGCAATATATGTGGTCCAACCAATGTAGCGCAAACGATGCCGCACAATCCAGAGGGTGCAATCGACGTGGTGCAATGTATGTGGTGCAATCTAAGTAGTGCAATCCACTTCGACTGTCTTGAAGTTGTCCTCTCCACTGCTCGTGCAAACATCCCACCCTCCCACCCGCACCTTGGACGCAAGACATCTTCAGACAAGACCGTGACGGTAGGTACTGCGTGGCACTTGGCCACGACACCGATGCCGACGACGACAGCGACATCGACGACGACGGCGCCGCCGACAGCGACTGCGACGACACCGACGACGTCTCCAATGTTTTCGACGACGACAACGACGACGACGACGCCGACGATGACGACAACGACGCCGACGCCGACGACGAAGACGACGACGACGTCGCCAACGGAGACGACGACGAGGGAGGATAAAAAACGACGACGGCGACAACGACGACAACGACGATGGAGGAGGGAAGACGGCGACGACGCCAACGACGAAGAAGGAGGAAGGACGGAAACGCCGACGACGACAACGACGAGGAAGGAGGGAAGACGACGACGATGACAACGACGACGAAGACGACGACGACGGCGACGAAATAGGAGGGACGACGACGAGACGCCGACGACGGACGACGACGACGAGGGAGGAGGATAACGACGAGGGAGGAGTGAAGACCACGACGACGACGACGACGACGACGGCGACGAAATAGGAGGGACAACGACGAGACGCCGACGAAGACAACGAGGGAGGAAGGACGACCACGGCGACAACGACGACGGAAACGACGACGACGCCAAAGACGACGAGGAAAGACAGAAGACGACGACGGCGACGACGACGACGACGACGAGGAGGAGGGAGGACGACGACGACGACGACGCAAGAGCGCGCGCGCACAATTTTGTTGAAAACCCGTGTTGCGAAACCTTGTGTTTTTGTATGTTTTTTGGACGCACGATTTCGACATTCTTCCGAAACCAAAGGTTTTTGAAGGATTTCGGCATACGCCCGCGACGACGCGCGCGTCTGCACTTCGTCCCGTTTTTTGCAGAGCATTCTCGCGACGGCACACGCGCAAGAGCGTTCGACAGATTTCGACACGCGCGCGCGCGAAGCCCGATTGGTAGCATGTTGTGAAAATATTGGAAAACCTATGGTTTTCTTAAGATTTCGCAAGAGCTCGCGCGGAAGTTTTTTTTGTTTTGAATCAGTGTTGCGAAACCATGTGTTTATATGTTTTTTGGAAATTCAATGTTGAAATCTCTCTGGAACCGAAGGTTTTTTTAAGGATTTCGGCATGCGCGCGCCACGACGCGCGCGTGTGCACTTCGTCCCGTTTTTTGCAAGGGATTCGTGAAAAAGTGATATGTTAGAACAAAACATGTCACCGCATAGTGTTTTTTACAAGGGAACCGCAGGGGGGGAACCCGGCCTGGCTGGGATGGTACGAGTTCATATTTAGGATGGACATGTGGTCATAATCGTATGTAATTTACAGCACGCACGGGGTAACCGATAATTCCGGGGGGGGGTAGAATCTATTAGTCTTTTAGTAATCTTGACCGTCTTGAAGCTGTCCTCTCCACTGCTCGTGCAAACATCCCACCCTCCCACCCGCAACTTGGTCGCAAGACATCTTCAGACAAGACCGTGACGGTAGGTACTGCGTGGCACTTGGCCACGACACCGATGCCGACGACGACAGCGACATCGACGACGACGGCGCCGCCGACAGCGACTGCGACGACACCGACGACGTCTCCAATGTTTTCGGCGACGACAACGACGACGACGACACCGACGACGACGACAACGACGCCGACGACGACGACGAAGACGACGACGACGTCGCCAACGGAGACGACGACGAGGGAGGAGAAACATCGACGACGGCGACAACGACGACAACGACGATGGAGGAGGGAAGACGGCGACGACGCCAACGACGAAGAAGGAGGAAGGACGGCGACGCCGACGACGACAACGACGAGGGAGGAGGGAAGACGACGACGATGACAACGACGACGAAGACGACGACGACGGCGACGAAATAGGAGGGACGACGACGAGACGCCGACGACGGACGACGACGACGAGGGAGGAGGATAACGACGAGGGAGGAGTGAAGACCACGACGACGACGACGACGACGACGACGGCGACGAAATAGGAGGGACAACGACGAGACGCCGACGAAGACAACGAGGGAGGAAGGACGACCACGGCGACAACGACGACGGAAACGACGACGACGCCAAAGACGACGAGGAAAGACAGAAGACGACGACGGCGACGACGACGACGACGACGAGGGAGGAGGGAGGACGACGACGACGACGACGACGCAAGAGCGCGCGCGCACAATTTTGTTGAAAACCCGTGTTGCGAAACCTTGTGTTTTTGTATGTTTTTTGGACGCACGATTTCGACATTCTTCCGAAACCAAAGGTTTTTGAAGGATTTCGGCATACGCCCGCGACGACGCGCGCGTCTGCACTTCGTCCCGTTTTTTGCAGAGCATTCTCGCGACGGCACAAGCGCAAGAGCGTTCGACAGATTTCGACACGCGCGCGCGCGAAGCCCGATTGGTAGCATTTTGAGAAGATCTTGGAAAACCTATGGTTTTCTTCAGATTTCGCAAGAGCTCGCGCGGAAGCTTTTTTAGCAAATCAGTGTTGCGAAACCATGTGTTTTTGTATGTTTTTTGGAAACTCGATTGCGAAATCCTTCCGGCACCGAAGGTTTTTGAAGGATTCCGGCATGCGCGCGCCACGACGCGCGCGTGTGCACTTCGTCCCATTTTTTGCAAGGGATTCGTGAACAAGTGTTATGTTGGAACAAAAAATGTCACCGCCTAGTGTTGTTTACAAGGGAACCGCAGGGGGGGGAACCCGGCCTGGCTGGGATGGTATGAATTCATATTTAAGATGGACATGTGGTCAGAATCATATGTAATTTACAGCACGCGCGGGGTAACCGATAAGTCCGGGGGGGGGGGTAGAATCTATTACTCTTTTAGAAAGGAGAATAAACGAGAATTCACTTGCCGAACTTGAAGTTGTCAACTCCATTGCTCGCGCAATCTTCCCACCCACCCACCCGCAACTTGGTTTGCAAAATCTCCTAAGACCGTGTCGGTGGGTACCGAATGGCACTTGGCAACGACAGCGACGCCGACGACGACAGCGACAACGACGACGACGACGCCGCCGACAACGACTACGACGACACCGACGACGTCTCCAACGACTTCGACGACGCCGACAACGACGACGACGACGACACCGACGACGACGATGACGACGCCGACGCCGAAGACGACGACGACGACGATGACAACGACGACGACGATGACGACGCCGACGACGACGACGACGACGATGACAACGACGACGACGATGACGACGCCGACGACGACGACAACGACGACACCGACGACGACGACAACGGCGTCAACGACGCCGATGACGACGACGACGACAGCGGCGACGACGACGACGCCGACGTCGACTACGAAGACGACGACGACGACGCCGACGCCAACGACGACGACGAAGACGACGTCGCCAACGAAGACGACGACGAGGGAGGAGGGAGGACGACGACGGCGACAACGACGACAGCGACGACAACGACGAGGGAGAAGGGAGGACGGCGACGACGCGAACGACGAAGAAGGAGGAAGGACGGCGACGTCGACGACGACAACGACGAGGGAGGAGGGAAGACGACGACGACGACGACGCCGACGTCCACTACGACGACGACGACGACGACGACGACGACGCCGACGCCAACGACGACGACGAAGACGACGTCGCCAACGAAGACGACGACGAGGGAGGAGGGAGGACGACGACGGCGACAACGACGACAGCGACGACAACGACGAGGGAGAAGGGAGGACGGCGACGACGCGAACGACGAAGAAGGAGGAAGAACGGCGACGCCGACGACGACAACGACGAGGGAGGAGGGAAGACGACGACGACAACGACGACGACGACGACGACGACGGCGACGAAATAGGAGGGACGACGACGAGACGCCGACGACGGACGACGACGACGACGACGAGGGAGGAGGAGGAAGGACGACGACGGCGACAACGACGACGGAAACGACCACGACGCCAAAGAGGACGACGACGACGAACACGAGGAAAGACAGAGGACGACGCAGGCGACGACGACGACGACGCGGGGGGAGAGAGGACGGCGACGACGACGACGACGACGACGCAAGAGCGCGCGCGCACGCTTTTGTTGAGAATCCGTGTTGCGAAACCTCGTGTTTTGTAGGTTTTTTGGACACACGATTTCGAAATCCTTCCGAAACCGATGGGCTCTGAAGGATTTCGGCATACGCGCGCGACGACGCGCGCGTCTGCACTTCTTATGTTTTGCAGAGGATTCTCGCGACGGCACACGCGCAAGGGCGTTCGACAGATTTCGACATGCGCGCGCGCGAAGCCCGTTTGGTAGCATGTTGTGAAAATCTTGAAAAACCTATGGTTTTCTTAAGATTTCGCAAGAGCTCGCGCGTAAGCTTTCTTAGCAAATCAGTGTTGCGAAACCCTGTGTTTGTATGTTTTGTGGAAACTCGATTGCGAAATCCTTCCGACACCGGAGGTTTTTGGAGGATTTCGGCATGCGCGCGCGACGACGCGCGCATGTGCACTTCGTCTTGTTTTTTGCAAGGGACTCGTGCAAAAATGCTGTGTTAGAACAAAAGATGTCCCCACGTATCGTCTTAAAGGAACCTCAGAGGGGGTCGATACCGGCCCCCTGGGGATAGTGTAAATTCATATTTAAGATGGACATGTGGTCATAATCATATATGATGAACATACCCGAAAGGGGGACCGATAACGCCGGGGAGGGGGTAGAGTCTATTCTTCTTTTAGAAAGGACAATCAATGCGGTGCAATCTGAGTGGTGCAATCTATGCTCTGAAATTAATTACTGTTCGCAGTGAGTTATCCACTCCACTGCTCGCGCAAACATCCCCCCCTCCCACCCACCCGCAAGCTGGTTTGCAGAATCTCTTAAGACCGTGACGGTGGGTAACAAATGGCACTTGGCAACGACAGCGACGCCGACGACGATAGCGACAACGACGACGACGACGCCGCCGACAACGACTACGACGACGACGACGTCTCCAACGACTTCGACGACGCCGACAACGACGACGACGACGACACCGACGACGACGACGACGACGACGCCGACGCCGACGACGACGACGATGACAACGACGACGACGATGACGACGACGACTTCGACGACGCCGACAACGACGACGACGACGACGACGACGACACCGACGACGACGACGACGACGCCGACGCCGACGACGACGACGACGATGACAACGACGACGACGACGATGACGACGCCGACGACGACGACAACGACGACACCGACGACGACGACATCGACGACGCCGACGACGACGACGACGACGGCGGCGACGTCGACGACGCCGACGTCGTCGACGACGAAGACGACGACGCCGACGCCAACAACGACTACGACGAAGACGACGACGATGACGTCGCCAACGAAGACGACGACGAGGGAGGAGGGAGAACGACGACGGCGACAACGACGACAACGACGACAACGACGAGGGAGGAGGGAGGACGGCGACGACGCGAACGACGAAGAAGGAGAAAGGACGGCGACGCCGACGACGACAACGACGAGGGAGGAGAGAAGACGACGACGACGACGACGACGACGACGACGACTACGACGGCGACGAAATAGGAGTGACGACGACGAGACGCCGACGACGGACGACGACGACGACGAGGGAGGAGGAGGAAGGACGACCACGGCGACAACGACGACGGAAACGACCACGACGCCAGAGAGAGGACGACGACGACGAACACGAGGAAAAACAGAGGACGACGTAGGCGACGACGACGACGACGACGACGCGGGAGGAGGGAGGACGGCGACGACGACGACGACGACGACGACGACGCAAGAGCGCGCGCGCACGCTTTTGTTGAAAATCCGTGTTGCGAAAACGTGTGTTTTTGTTGGTTTTTGGGACACACGATTTTGAAATCCTTCCGAAACCAATGGGGTTTGAAGGATTTCGGCCTACGCGCGCGACGACGCGCGCGTCTGCACTTCGTCCCATTTTGTGCATCGGATTCTCGCGACGACACACGCGCAAGGGCGTTCGACAGATTTCGACATGCGCGCGCGCGAAGCGTCTGGTAGCATGTTGCGAAAATATTGAAGAAAAACATATGGTTTCCTCAAGATTTCGCAAGAGCTCGCGCGTAAGCTGTTTTAGCAAATCATTGTTGCGAAACCCTGTGTTTTGTATGTTTTTTGGGAACTCGATTGCGAAATCCTTCCGACACCGGAGGTGTTTGGAGGATTTCGGCATGTGCGCGCGACGACGCACTTCGTGTTGTTTTTTCCAAGGGATTCGTGAACGAGTGCTATGTTAGAACAAAAAATGTCACCGCGTATTGTTTTTTACAAGGGAACCTCAGGGGGGGAGGGAACCCGGTTGGCCTGGGACATTGTGATTTCATATTTGGGATGGACATGTGGTCAGAATCATATGTGATTTACATAGGATGCGGGGGGGGTGATAACCCCGGGGGGGGGTAGAGTCTATTTTTGTATATTAGAAAAAGAAAGGAGAATCTAAGAGGCGTCGGGGCGGCGACGAGGCGGCGACAGTGCGGCGACGGCGACAACATAGCCGCCAGACCGGCAGACAGGCCCACACGACGGGTGGCAACGAGGCGGCGACGGGACGGCGACGTCGGCAACATAGCCGCCAGACCAGCAGACAGGCCCAGACGACCCGCGGCGACGAGGCGGACGGCGGCAACGTAGCCGCCAGACCAGCAGACAAACCCAGGCGACGGGCAGCGACGAGACGGCGACGGCGGCAACATAGCCGCCAGAGCGGCAGACATGCGCAGCTCCTTAGAGCAGAAGTAAGACCCCCTAAGTGCAATCACGGCTTGAGGAATCTGCATCTATACATATATATATATGAGGAATCGGCATCTGTAGGTGTATATATGTGTGTATATGTATATATATATATATACACATACATGTGATCCCTCTCTCTCACTCTCTGTCTTTCTCCCTCCCTTCCTCCCTCCTCTGTCTCCATCCCTTTCTCTCTCCGTATCTATCTCTCGCTCTCTGTATGACTCCCTCCATCTCTCTCTCTCTGTCTCTCTCTCTCTCTCTCTCTTTTTCTCTCTCTGCCTCTTTCTCTACCACTCCCCCCCTCTCCTCACAAGTGCCCCCACCGGCGGCAGCCAGGCCTTCACCGCGCGGTTGCCTGGAGATGCAATCTTATCTTGAGGCCCTCAACCGCCCCCATCTCCCTGGCCTGCCATGAGCAAATCAGCCTCCCCGCTGGTCGAAGACACAGTCCCCTTTGCTGCTCCCATGGGCGACGACAAGGAACAGGTCTTACGCGAGAACACATAGCGACCTTACGCCGCGGCTTACGCGGGCCGCCAGCGTGGCACACCTCGTGGGGAGAGGGCGCTTACGCCACGCCAAACCTCACGCGGGAAGCTTACGCGCGAATGTCCGCGCAGTCGACCACCTTTCCTGCCTTCGCTAGCACGGAGGCTGCACGAACAACATCCAACTCCCACCACCGAACGTGCACTCCTCGCGCGCTCGAACCCGACAGCGTGAAACTTACGATCCGAGGCAACTTCTGCTCAACGTGTCGCGGAGGCGGCCTCTGAGACACGCTAGGCCCTGCAGGCTGATAGCGTGTCGCTCCGCTCCGCGAGGCAGGAGGCTGGGAAAGGCTCGGGACGTTGATGCCCGAGGACCGGGACGTGGTTTGCGTGTCGCGCTGAAGAGTGGCCAGAACCGGCACCACGACACCATCAGCAATAGTTCCCGACCGCAATACGGCTTGGGTGATAAACCGCGCTGCTCCTCACACCGTGTGCTGAGGCACGCTCCGCACTCGCCTACCACTTCCAGCCATCGTGCTACCACAAGATGATGAGCCTGTTTTCCACCACCACCATAAGTTGGAGGGGGGAGGGAGGAGGAGGAGGAGGAGGAGGAGGGGGAGGAGGACGACGAATAGGAGGAGGAGGAGGAGGAGGAGGAGGAGGAGGAGGAGGAGGAGGAGGACGCCCCCCTCCAACTTATGGTGGTGGTGGAAAACACGCCCATCAACAAGAAACGCCGAACAGAGAACGGGGGGCGTGCTCTGCTGGCAGCGCCAAGCCTCGGCCAGGAGCAGGCTCCCCGACACGGATACGAGAAACGGAGCGGGCGCCAGAGCCCAACCTGAGGCCGAAGCGGTCCTCGCCCCAGGGCTCCCAAAGTTCGCGCCTCGCGCTGCGCGGAGCGCGAATGACTCCGCGGTCTCGCGCCGCCTCCCCAGGGGAGAAGAGGAGGAGGAGGAACCGGAGCCGAGCCGCGAAGCGCGAAGCGCGAAGAGCTTCGCGCCCTCGAGGGCGCCGAGCCGCGAAGCGCGAAGCGCGAGTAGCTTCGCGCAACTCGAGGGCGCCCTGGTTTTTGCTTGACCGTGCGACAGGTTTTTCTGCTCTGACGACGCGGGCCCCCGGCCCCCGACGGGTGTCGTTGAGAATCTCGGGTGGGCAAGCGCGCTCGGAGGGCGCGGCATATGATTGAGGACCCCGTCGCTCCACCAGACTCGTACGGCAGGTTCGCGTCGTGTCGACCCCGGCGTGGGTTTCTGACACCGCGGGGGTCGTTCAACCTTGAACGATCGGCCGCTGCCGCAACGTCCGATCGTTCAACATCGATCGATTCTGGGTCGCCGGCGGCGTTCAACCTTGAACGCCCGCGCTGGGGTCGCCGCTGGTCGACACGACGCAAACCTACCGCACTGTCTGGAAATGTGTTCGCGTCGCGGCCTGCCGTCTCAGCGGAAGACAACGCAACGTTCGTGAAGGCCTGAACGACCTCTGCTGTCCATCGAACCGCGCTGGAAGTTTCACTGTTTCTCCAGACGTACCTGGGCATCTCTAGACTAGCCCTGGTTAGTCTACCCTTACGTCGATATATCTGGATGTACCTCGATGTATATGTCTTGAGCCTGGCAAGTCGATCGGACAAGAGTCGACAAGGGAAACGTAATATGAACTCCCACCAGACCTTTGGGCTACGTAAGGTGGTCTAGCGAGTCCTTCCTGCCCTCTTCCAGAAACCCGCTTCGCTTCGGGGAGATTGACCTATGGGTCTGGACGGGAAGTGCCACGAGGGGTTGGAGCGTTCAAGATGGTCTTGGCGAGAAGGCATATATCATTGAGGTTACAAATGTCTTGGCCCAATGGTGGCCTCCTGGGGGGGCCTCTTAGTCGATCACCCCCAAGATGGCCCCAATAGGCCCTCCAGGGCTCCCAAGTGACCCCAAATAGGGCTCCAAGAGGGCCCCAAGACCCCCCAACAGAGCCCCAAGAGGACTCCAAGATCCCCGAAAAGAATCCCAAGAGGGCTCCAAAAGGCAATTTTGAGGGCTCTGTCCTCTTCCTCGTTGTCCTCCTCCTCCTCCTCTTCCTCCTCATCCTCCTTCCTCTCCTCCTCCTCCTCCTCCTCCTCCTCCTCCTCCTCCTCATTGTCCTCATCCTTACCCTCATCGTCGTCCTCCTCGTCGTGGTCGTCGTCGTCGTCTTCCTGCTCCTCCTCCTCCTGCTCCTCCTCCTCCTTCCTCCGCCCCCGCGCGGGCCCCAGGAAAGCCCGAAGAGGCTCTCCAAAGCCACCCCCTTCCTCCCAGTAGTATCTCTGTTCACCCTGGCTGCCCACTTTGCTTCACTACATGTGTCGCTTCGTCCGTTTTCCCGTCAACTGTCATGGGCAGGATTTCTGAATGGGCTAGTGGGAATACTTTTTTCCTCGCGGGCGCAAGCGAAAGCGCAGGCGCCGTGGTGAAAGGTCCGGGCCGCGGGCGCTAGTGGGAATATGCGAAGCGTGAAGAGTTTAGAGGATTCGCGCTAATTTATGGGATCGGCGATGGAACCCCCTGACTGGCGCGCGGAGCGCGCCCAGGGCGGCGACGGAGGCGCCACAGGGGGGGGGTGCAGTGCTAGTCCAAGAAACACACGCGGGCCTCCGAAAGTGCATGCTTGTGCCGTTTCCCCTTCTTCGCCTTCTCCGGGGCCTCGGGCCCGACGACGAGCCCTGCTGCTTCGCGTGGTGGGGGGCTGGGAGAAGCTCGGCACGTGGACTCCCAGTTGCCGCGACATTGATGGCGTGTCAAGCCGAAGCGTGGTGGGCCAGAAGCGGGGGGGTGACAAGCTAAGCCGAATGTGCCCGACTGGAAGTTGGGCGATATCTGCCCTAACCCAGCTTGCAAGTGGGTTAGAGGTGCCCCGAGTGGCTTGGATGGGCTCGAAAACTCCGCTAAGTGGGCAGAGCCCACTTCGCGTGGATCTTTACCCCCCCCCTCAGCCACTTAGGGCACTTCTCATCCACTCATGAGGTACCAAATGCCAGACATGACCCACAGCCTGGCTGTGGGTCATGTCGACCCCGTATCCACTCAGCAACCACCGCGGTGATTCGAGCAGGCCGCAGGGGGGTCCTGGACGCTCATGGAGGCCCAGAAGCGTCCAAAGCTGTGATCCTCGACTCCGGATCATTCTCCCCGCTCCTTCCCCAGGATGGGCCTGGGCCTGGCCAAGGTCGGTGCCCGCGGCACGGTTGCAGCGCCCCCCGCGAGCCTCCCGAGGCTCCCTGGAGGCGCCGCCGGAGGCCTCGGGGGCCAGAGGCCCAGCAAGACCCCAAGCCCATCGCGAAGACCTCGATCCCCAGTCCTCCTCGAGGCCTCCCTCCTGCCCCCCCCCGCCCCCCGTGGGAGCCTCGGCCTGCACCTCGACACTCTCGCGCGTCGAGAGACGTGTTGGCAGGGTGCGGCCTCCCAATGCCCGCGCGGGGGCCCCCCGGGGACCGCGAAGCAGCCTAGCTGCTCTTGCGGAGGCGGCGGGGGCCGTCCCGGCGAAAGGGTCCCGGGGCTGCGGGGCCACGCGCAGCGAAGAGAGACACACTGCGTCGGGGGTCTGGGCCTCAGTGGGCCCTGGAAACGCGTAGGGCCTTTTTTTTTCCCGGTTCCGTTTTGCCGCTTTTGTTGCCGGTTCCGACGCCGTTTGTTTTCCGGCTCCGGCTCCAATCCTGGAGCCGTTTTTTGCCGCGTTTCCGGTCGCCATGTTTTTCCCGTTTCCATTTTCAAAGGACACTTTTTAGGAAACGGTGGAAAAACGGCCCTGCCGTTTCCGGGGCCCACAAAGGTCTGGGCCCTCCGTCCAGCCGCGCTCCCTCCTCCCTCAAGATGCGGCCACCCACGATCGGCGGTCTTGGATGAGGGCCGCGCCGATCGCAACCGCCCCCCGGGCTCATGCGCCCGCTCCTGCTTGCGCTCGTGCTCCTGACCATTCTCACGCGCCACCCTCCTTCTCCTCCTCCTCCTCTGCGCTGCTGTTGAGATGTTCATCCTCGTCGTCCTCCCCCTTCTCCTCCCTCCTCATTCCCCTCCTTATCCGATTAATTCCACTGCCTCCGACTGCTCATCATTACCCTCTGCGGCTTCCTACATCGGCCCGATCCTTGAATTTAGTCACGACAAGCACCAGTGGAAGTCTATTGAAGAAGAACGAGGCGGAAGACGGCGGAAGGCACGCAGAAGACAGCGGACATGATTGACGTCCGCGGCAGTCGACGGAAGCAGAAGGAGGCGACAGACGGCTGAAGGCTTGCAGAATACAGCGGAAGTCTGGCAGTGTAGTCTTCCGTATTATTATGAGTTTTATTATTATTATTAGTATTATTATTATTATTGATATTACTAATACTAGTACTATTAATAGTAGTATCATTATTATTAATATTATTAGTATTATCAGTATTAATAATACGATTATTATTGTTAGTATTAGTATTATTAAGTTTAGTATTAGTATTAGTAGTGTAGTGTTTAGACGCCTGGCAGTGTAGTCTTCCGCCGTGGGCCGGGCGGGATCCCGCCCAGCTCAGTCCCCTTGACCGTCTTACGCCCCCCCCGACGCTGGGGCCTCCTCCCCTCTCCCCTCAAGTTCCCCCGCCCTGGCAGCGTCGAGGGCGGGCGAGGAGGAGGAGGAGGACGACGAGGAGGACGTGGAGGAGGAGGAGGAGGAGGAGGAGGAGGAGGAGGAGGAGGAGGAGGAGGAGGAGGAGGAGCAAAGGAGGAGGAGGGGGAGGGGGGGAGGAGAAGGGAGGAGGGAGGGGAGGAGGAGGGAGGGAGGAGGGGAGGAGGAGGAGAAGGAGGAGGAGGGGAGGAGGCGGAGGAGGAGGAGGAGGAGGAGGGAGAGGAGGAGGAGGAGGAGGAGGAGGGAGAAGGAGGGAGGAGGGAGGAGGGAGCGGAAGGAGAAGGGGAGGTGGAGAAGGAGGAGGTTAGGAGGAGGAGGAGGAGGACTGAGGAGGAGGAGGAGGATAGGAAGAGGAGGAGGGGAGGAGGAGGAGGAGGAGGAGGAGGAGGGAGGAGGAGGAGGGGAGGATGGAGGAGGAGGAGGAGGAGGAGGGAGGGAGGAGGAGGAGGAGGAGGAGGAGGAGGAGGAGCAGGGCGACCACGCCAAACGACGGCACACGCGGGGCGCGGCCTCCGGTCAACCACGGGTGGCTCAGGCCGCGCTGCGCCGTCAGGCGGTCGCTGGGCTTGATGCAGCCTCGGCCGTCTGCCCGTCTCCTCCTCGCCGACGTCGTCGGCTTTCGTCGGTGTCGTCGGTGTCGTCGCCCCCCCCGCCTGGTTCTCTCCCTGCAATCCTCGCTCTCCTCCCTCGTCTCTCCTTGTCCCCTCGTCTTCCTCGTGCTCCTCCTCGATGCCCTCTTCCTCCTTCTCCGCCGTTTCCTCATCAGCCTCCTCCGCCTCGGCATCGTCCGGCATCGTGCTGTGTTTTCATCCATTGCCCCTCCTCCTCCTCCTTCTCCTCCTCCTCCTCAACTCATTATTCCCCTCCTTGGGCGTCTGCTCTCAGAGACGAGAGGGAGGCGAGAGGAGATAAGGCGGACGAGCATGAGGGAGGGAGGAAGGAGGGGCATACGGATAGAAGCAGGAGGGCCGAGGATGGAGGATGGAGCGAGGGAGGGACCAGGGGGAGGAGGAAGACGAGGAGCAGGAGGATTGATCGTCCTGCGCTCTGGCTTCGGCTCCTCGGGGCTGGCCGGTGGCTAAGGCGCCGGCACAAGCTGAGGATGAAGTCCATGGCCGTCTTCGACCTACCGGCTGCACGCGAAGAGGGGGGGCTGGCGTAGCAGCAAGGCTCAGCGACACCACCACCACCAGCGCGAGGAGCCAGGGGGGGGCCTTGGTGGTGTGGTCACCCCCCCTCCCGCTCGAGGCATTGCCCATACCCAGCTCGGGGAGGCATCGTGCCCCTCGCTGGTGGCCCCCCCGGTGGCGGTGGTGGCGCCTCTCCCCCCTCGGATAGCAAGCCTCGCCCAGCCACCCACGCCGAAGGCCGAGGAAGAGCAGCGCTGGCTTCCGACGCCAAGACCGCGCGGGGACCTCGGAATCCCACACGACCCCACCGCACGGCCCGTCACAGAGTTGTTAAAGGGGCCCACGGACGCACAAATGAAGGCAGACGCATTGAAGGAGTTCCCATGTTTTCCAATCTTTTCTGTGTTATCGTCTTCCCCCCAACTTCCCATAGTTTCCAATATTTTCCTGGGAATCGACGATTCGTTGTATCTGTGTGTTTTTCCCCTCCTGAATTGTTTTGGAAAACCGGAGGCCCCACCAGTTGCACGAGACACCCTCCGAGAACGAGCAAGGTCCCCGAACCGTGCGGTCACCCCGAACGGTGCGGCCACCGCACCGTTCGGGGTGACCGCCGAGACTCTCTCGGGGAGGACTCGAAGCCCATCTGCCGAGCACCTCTCGTGCAAGAGCGCCAGCCCTCCCCCTCCTCCTCCCCCTCCCCCTCCCCTCCTCCTCCTCCTCCTCCTCCTCCTCCTCCTCCTCCTCCACCTCCTCTCCTCCTCTCCTCCTCCTCCTCCTCCCTCCTCTCCTTCTCCTCCTCCTCCTCCTCCTTCCTCCTCCTCCTCCTCCTCCTCCTCCTCCTCCTCCTCCTCCTCCTCCTCCTCCTCCTCCTCCTCCTCCTCCTCCTCCTCCCCCTCCTCCTCCTCCTCTTCCTCCTCCTCGGGCTCGGCGTCGGCCTCACGGAGTCCTCGAAAACGGGAGGCACCTACAGAAGATCATGCGGGGCAGTCTCGAGGTCGACTTGTCAGTGAACCTTCGTGCGTGAGCGCGGGCTTGCCTCGGCCCTGGATTCTGGCGCAGCCACGTCCCAAGAACTGGAGTCAGGGCGAGGAGCTCTTGATTTTGTGTTCGTGCGTCGTCGTCGGGCGCTCACACATTCGTACTGGGAGCGGGGGTCAACAGTCAAAATTGCACTGGGCGCCACCGGCCAACTGGCCCTCCATCCATGCTCCGACTTGCGCGGATGCCTCGAATACCTAGCCAGTGAGCGGCTGGCTCAGCCGCCCTCCGTACCTGGAAGATCTTGCGGGCGAGGCGAGCACATACAGGTCGGGTGCGTTGGAAGCTATGCAGCTTGCCCCACAATCAGACTTGTGCCTGTCTGACTCCCGACTACCCCTTACCTCTCCAGCCCCTCGCCCCTCCCTCGTGCGAGAGCCAGGGCGCGCGTACCAGATTGCAAACAATCTTGACAGCCTCAGCTCGGGGGGGTCTGGCCGATGCCGCGCTCTTCCCATGCCCAGGGCTCTTCGCGTGGATCTCCACACATTGGCCCACGATATGCTTCCGAACAGGACAGCCTCGAGTTGAAGTCACTTTTTGCTGGTAGGCCCCTTTCATACCGCACGGCTTGCTGACGTCCTTGACAGCACCCTCCTCGACCGCCCTCGTCCTCCTCCTCCTCCTCCTCCCTCTCCTCCTCCTCTTCCTGGTCGATCGCCTTCATCCTCTTCATGTTCACTCCCCTCCTGGTCTCCCTCCCTCCGTATGCTCCTCCTCGTCACTAGCCCTTCTATCCCTCCTCCTCCTCCTTGGGCAATCGGAGGGGGAGCGGAGGGGGCGGCGTGGTGACCATTCTCGCGCCCGTCATCCACTGGCCTAAACTATTCCCATGAGCCACTGGACTTGGAGGCGGAGGAGGAAGCGGAGAACTGGTGAAGCCTAGCAAACACACCTCAGGAGCCTTGCACCACAATACCCATCGGTCGGAAAAAAAGTAGGTAGAAACGTGAAGTAGGAAGGCGTTGAAAATAGATTGGGTGTCCGCCCGCCCCCGAAAGAGGACGGAAAAGGTGAAGCCACTCCATCGCTGAAGTAGGAAGGCGCTTAAAGTGGATTGGAATCTGGGGCCTCAAAATAGCTGCTGTCAACGGCCGATGGGCATGCCCGGGGGGAGCACGCGTGCCCTCTGTCAGAGCCTGCCTGCGATGCGCAGGCGCTCGCTGCGTCCGGGTGCGAGGGGGGCTCGGCCCTTCGAGCAACTTGGGGCCCGCGGGCCCGAAGGAGAGCACTGGCCAGACGGGGGAGGAGAGGAGACGCAGAGGCAGCAGGGGATACGTCGGCCCCTATCCCAGGTTTCATTGGGTTTTCCTATGGACCAGAAACTTTGGGCCCAGCCCTGGGATGTACGATTGGGGGCGCGCATCCTCGATAGGGGTGCCTCCGAATAGCCTCCTGGGGGTCTATGCCATGGCTTCCCCCCTCGTCTGAACGGCCGAACTTTTACCGCCGAACTTGGGGGGGGGGGCGGGAGAAACATTGCCTGCGAAGCGAGGAGGCACAGAAGAGGACAGAGGAGGGGCAGGGACGGTGAACGAGAGCAGAGACCACGGGCTCCGCCCCCGTCATACAGTCGCCCCTAAATCGCGAAGCGATAGCGCTACGGTCTCCTGACCTCTTAGCCTCGTGGCCTCATTGCCTCTTCCCCTCATCGTTGCCTCGCTGCCTCGTGGCTCTCAGAGGCTCTCCCACCTGGCGCTCTGCAAGGAACGGGCGGTGTCTCTCGTAACTACCCCGGGGAATAACCAATCCGTGTCCCCAATCCGTAGGCGTACGAGGACACCACGCAGCACGCGGAGCTGTGGCGACCGTTGTGTGGCGGTCCCCACTTATGGTACGCAACACATGCACTTACGTAAGTGTGTAATGTAATCCCACATATATGTAGACAGCGTACCTGGAGAATCGAAGACACCAGCCCAAAGAAGAACTGAAGTACAACATAATCCAATTGTTGACACATGCGACCCAAATAATAACCATTGAATACGGTTATAAACCATTGTCGGAGGAATTGGGTGCCTGTGGTTTCTTGTGTCGGTGGTCCAGCGCTCGCTGCCGCATGCTTGCCATAGCCAACGCCATTTGTGTCCAAGTAGTCGTGGTCCTCCTGGTGAGGTCCTCTGTCGGCCAGCCCAGCCGGCGGGTGATGTCAGCCGTTGGTACCGCGATACCTTGCCGGAGGTCGGCGTTGGCTGTACACACCCAGTACATGTGGTCGAGCGTCGGGACGCGCTGCTCACCGCAGTGGTCGCAGGTGGTCGAGACCTCCTCGCCTTGGTTGGACTGCAGCAGGGCGTCCGAGACCACGCAGCCGCAGAGGACGGCGGCGATGTGTGAGGCGAGAATTGGGTTAGCTTTCCGTGCTTCCTGTGCCGCGTGCACGGCAGCAGCTGGGAAGGGCACTCCGGCCGCCATGGGGCTCTCCCGCCGGCTCCGGCCTTGTAGGATTGCCCATTCGTGGGATCGGAGTATGAGTCGTAGCTCGTGGAGCTGTCGGTCTGTTCTGTCGGTAAGTCGAAGTTCTCCCGGCGGGCCTCTCCAGAAGCCGTCGTCGCTGCGCTCTGCTCCAAGCGATGCCAAGTGTGCTCGGTAGGCGTGGAGTGGCCCCCGCGTGTCGGTCTTGATCGTGATCTTGTCCCAAAGCGCAAGTGCTCCAGGCCCCTGTCGACGTAGTCTGCTGCTCAGAAGTTGTAGTGCTCGCCGGCACAGGTGGTACCGTAGGTCGGTGCTATGCCCCATTACAACCAGACGAAGTAGTTCGGGAGCTGCCCGGGGCCATTTCTGCAGGGTCACAGCCTTTTGTGCTTGTCGAAGATGGTCCTGGATAGCTCCTTTTGTCGGTGGCGTCACCACTAGTGCCCAGCTCGACACCGGCAGCGCGATGGTGCTCACCGCGGTCGTGCGCAGCCGCGTGCTCAGGGGGCAGGCACGCAATCCGCTTCATGCGGGCAAGTGCCTCTTCAAGCTTGCCTCGCTCTCTGGTCGTGAGCGTCGTGCGTTGCATCGTGAAGTCGATTCCGAGGCATTTCATCTTCTTGCTCTGCAGGTGGTAATTGTCGCACTGGTGCGGTAGCATCGTGAAGGACTGCGTCTTGCTGTCGTTGGTGCGCAGCGCGGTGACCGACTCCATCAGCTCCCACTCCTCCTCGATGCTCCGTAGTTCTTCTGCCTCTGTCGTGGCCGCCGTGCGGTCGTCCGCGAAGGTGCAAAAGGTTGCTCGTGGGTGCAGAGCAGCTTGCCGTCGTAGTGGCCCCATGAGCAGGGTGGCCATCCCGAGCATGGCTGCTGGATCCCCTTGTGGCAGACTGGAACTACCCCGGCCAGACCTCTCCTGGGGCGCGCTCCGGTCAGGCTGCGGGAGCATGCACGGGCTCTCCCCCCTCGTGAACTGCCTCACCCCCTCTTGCCAGGGGGGCCTCACTCCTGCGGTGCCTCCCGAGCAGGACATTCGACGCAGTCCCCCACGACCCATGACCTCCCGCCGCCCTGAAGTACACAGTCTTCCTCCTCCTTCTCCTCCGCCTCCTTCTTCTCCTATTCTTCCTCCTCCCCCTCCCCCTCCCCCTCCCCCTCCCCCTCCTCCTCCTCCTCCTCCTCCTCCTCCTCCTCCTCCTCCTCCTCCTCCTCATACTCCTTCTCCAAATCTGGAGATCTGGCCGTGGCGGCGAGGGCCCTCCAGGAGGCCCCCGAACATGGCGAAGCCGAACAACACTCGCCCCCTTCACCAGACGTCCGACGTCTTGATGTTTTTCAGTGCGCGGTGCGCGAAAGTCCCGACACTTCCCCCAGGCTCAGCTCCTCACCGTGAATCGTTTTGCGACAGCCCTGGTGCCCTCCTGGGGCCTCGAGAGGCTGAAGACGACAAAAAAACCTCCGTCTTGATTTGTTCAATACGTTTGCCCTGACTGCGGATCTCCTGTACGTGTTTTTTGGAGATGCGCCCCGAACGGGCGGAAATCTAACCCTCAGGACGAAAGAGTAGGTGGACATTTCGACAAAGGTATGGCTGAATCAGTGACGGCAAAAGAGGGCGAACAGATACGTCCAAGGAGCTCGAACAGAAGGCCGGCAATGTCCGCCCTGCTCGCGAGATCGCCTAGGAGTGTACTGCGAATCCCAAGTCGGGGGGAGAAGACGTCTGGGTCACCGCCCGTGCCGGCCGCGGACACGCTCTTCCATGGCCTGTCCGGGGACGAGGCAGTCCGCCACCGTGCCGCGAGGCGCGAGTTGGAGTGCCCTACTCTGGGCTTCCTAGCGTGCAAGGGTACCCCTCCGACGGGAGTCAACTTCGCATCGTCGTCGCGCCGCGACGGGGGTCGCAGCGCCTTCGGCGAACGGTGGCTTCCCGCGACGGGGGTCGATGTGGGGCTGTCGGCGGGGGTGACGCACCCCCGACGCGCATTAAGAAACTCGGAGTAAGGTACTTGTCTGTCGGTCCTCTGTCCTCAGGAGTAATAAATGCGCCCAGGCCCCTAATTCTCGAATCGTCTGGGGCTCCCAGCGTTCATCCCGCGGTTCCCAGGCGCTTCCCGCATGACTCTGTCGGACCCACGAGAGGACAAGAAGGGCTCCGAGGGACCTCTAATCAAAAACCCAGGCACGGTGGCGGGAGGGGCCGAATGCCAGTAGAACCGCCGCCCCCTGTTGGCTTGCCACAGGGGTGCACGGCGTGCCAGACGTCTGAGGGTTTGAGCTCTTTGCTGAAGAACTCCCGGTGGGGTCTTGGCCCAACCCGCCACAGTGTCCAAGACGACGGTATATCTGCACAACGCCGCCTCCAAGACGGCCAAGATGACTCAAGATGGCCTCCAAGTTCGTCCAAGACGGCAAAGATGCCCCCCCCCAAAAGAGCCCAACATGAGCCCAGTGTATATATATGTGTGTCTATATATGCACATATAGACATATATCTACATTATGTGTACATGTGCATATATATATATACACACGAGACAGCCCGAGACGTCTCCAACGTGGCCTAAGATGGCCGCAATATACCCAATCACGGTCCAGAAAGCTTGAAAGACGATGAAAGAGGCCTCCAAAAGGACCTCCAGGCAGGCCTGAGGAGGCCACAACGATTGATGTCCTGTCGGTGCTTTGGCGATATTTGAATTTGTTCATTTTCGGTTTTCCGACGGCCCAAGAAGACCCAAGAAGCCCCCAGGATGGCCTCAAGAGCCTCCAAGATGGCCCCCTGACGACTCAAGAGGCCCCCAAGACGGCCCCAAGAGGGCCCCAAGACAGCCCAGGAGATTCCTGAGACGCCCAAGGCGGCCTCTGAGACGGCCCTGAAGTGCCCCAAGAAAGCTCCAAGTCGGCCCTGAGTCGCGCCGAAGAAGGCTTCCGACGGCGTCAGACGGGCCAGGAACGCCCATGATGAGCAAACAAGTTGCACAACGCCCACCCCTAAGAGGCCCAAGGAGGCCTGCAAGAGACCTACAAGAGGCCCCAGGAGGCGCCCAGAAAGCCCCAAGACTGCCCCAAAAGTTCCCAAGATGTCTTCTCCTTGTCCTCCTCCTTGTCCTCCTCCTTGTCCTCCTCCTTGTCCTCCTCCTCCTCCTCCTTCTCTTCCTCCTCCTCCTCCTGCTCCTCCTCCTCCTCCTCCTCCTCCTCCTCCCCCTCCCTTCATATGTTCCTCCCTCTCCTCCTCCTCTTCCTCCCCAAAGTGTTCCCCGAAGGGTTTCCACAACGGCTGAGGAAGCACACAGTCCGACAGCGTGGCCGAGCTCTGACCACACAATTCTGCCACATGGGCGCTTCCACAAGGCCGGGGGGCGGCGGTGGTTCGCCGCAGGCGTCTTCGATGCATTGGAAGTCTCGATCCCCGCCCACCCAGCCGCTGACACGCTCTTCCACGGCTTGTCTGGGAACGAGATGTCGCGCTCCACGATCTGCCGGTACATCTTGTGCAGCTCGGCGTGGAAGAAGGGCAGCACGCCGCTGAGCAGAACGTAGACGATCACGCCCAGCGCCCACGCGTCCACCTGCTTGGATCATCGATCGCGGGGGTTGCTGAGTGGACTCTCGTCACCGTCCATCCTTGGTCACCGTCAATTCGTGCAACATTCTCGCGAGTCGGCGACGGCCAGCATGGACCGTTACCAAGATCTACGTCGACAAGATCCAGCGGCATCTTGGTCATGGCCACCGTTTTTGTTTAGCACATGGCTGCTGCGACACTTGCGCATGACTCTACAATCTCAACCCCAAACGCTGGACGGATCCTGCGGCAAAGCCGCGCCTGTCACGGTCTCCGCCGGCGGGTCATTCGAGCCAGGCCAGCGTCGTGGCTGCCTTCTCCCCTCTTGGTCCTCGCCCTCCCCCGACGGGCAGCTCGTCCCGGGGCGGGGACGGGCCTCGTGGAGCTACGGTGTGGGCAGTGGGTAACAGATGCAGATCCCCGGACGCGGTGCGGCCCCTGCGGGGGCTGGGGAAAACTGCGCAAGGGACTCTTAGATAAGGAACTCTACGCCGTGGGCATTGGGTAAGGAACTCTTAGATAAGGAATCAAGGGTCTGGAAGCCAGTGGAACTCCAATCGAGGCTTGGCCATGCATATCACCGCCACCCTCATCAGAGAGGGAGCCCTCCAGGGTCTGCAGCATCCTGGGCGCAGTCCTTAACCAACGCCCCCACCGTAGGAGGGAATGTATGTTCGCGTGGAGCTAACGGGCCCCGATGGACGCCAGGCCCTGCTTGGATCACCGCGCGGGCTGCTAAGTGGACGAGGGGATTAAAAGTGGATGCGGTAAAGTGTGTTAGCTCTGGCCAAACCTAGCTCACGAGCTGATTAGAGTGCCCCAGGTGGCTTAGCAGGGGCCAACATCGAGGCTAAGCGGGCTCAGCCAACGTAGCGGAGTCATCGAACCCACCCAAGCAACTCAAGGCACTTGCAAACCACTTGCAAACTACGTTGGCGCCGCTGGCATGTACGGCTATCAGGCTCATGGAGAATACGGAGAGCATTTGAAATTGATACGTAGACATGTGGCCCAGCCTTGTTCGACTGAGAATTGGGGCCGGTGCCTGACTAAGCTGTGCTGGACCTGAAGGTGCCCAAGTCAGACCCTGCTACCTCTGATTGGTGGTGCAAAGAGCAGACCAATTGTTGAAGACCTGGCGAGACCATATACGCATCCGCGATGGCATCCGAAAGATCTAGCCCGAGGTATTGCAGCACATGCAAAACGCGAAGCCCTCGGATCAAGCCCGACACGCACGTGGACCAGTATGGGCCCAGTATGGGCGCTTATTCACAACGTGCTTCGAGCTGGAAGGGACTCCGTCAGCGGCGACGGAATGGAGCTACCCGACCAACGACGACACGTACGAGGAACGGCCATCCCCCGACTCCAGCTACACAGGTAATCCGCACAGCGATCAGCACCAGCACCTGCTCAGGGATCTGGTGGCCACCGCCCACCAGACGGCATGGAGGCAGGCCCGCATGCAGTATGCAGGAGGAGGGTTGGACAAAGGAGTCGAAAGTGAGTACAGTGGGGGCCCGACCACAAAAGGAATTCTCCACTAGAAACCTTACCCTGACACCCCAGGACGTCCATTGATGTTTGGTGTGGGAACGTCGCGCGCTTCCCATCGCAAAAGACCATCGAAATCCAAGAAACTCAGGACACCCTGGAGGCAGGCAGGGTGTGTCTTGGCACAGGTCTCCACTGTAGGGTACCTGAGCCTGTGGGTTGTGATTCCTTGACCTCGACTGGCGCGAATGAGGTTGAAGCGCGGTGCTTCGGCACCGTTTCACGCGAATGTCTTATCCTGGTTTCTGTCGACGCCTCGGGTGGTCCCGACTCGAGGTGGCCCAGATTACGCCGAGTATGGCTTGCTATAGCCAACTGTTCTTCCCTCACCCCGCTTGCGGTAGAGGCGTCAATCTTCGGACCCATTTGCGGACGCAGGCAAGCAGTTGCCCGTAGGGAACTTACAACGTTTGATCTCACTTTGTTTGTTACTAGAGGGCATGTGCTGTACAGTTCAGACTTCGAGCCCCTTGCTGAAAGTTGGTGCCCCAAGGCGTATGTGAGCCCGACAGGTCCCGATGCTGATTTGTGGGCCAATACTGCCAAGCTCATGCAACACATATCGTATAGTCAAATAGAGTCTTTCACACGGGCTCATCAGAACGAGGGTGACATAGTTTCGAAGCGTTCCGTGAGCAGGCTTGTGCTGGACACCGCGGATGTCGATGAGCTAGCCGACTGTGCAGCAAAGTTGAATAGCATTTCAGAGGTCATTAAACACAAGGTCCATCTTGTAGAACATCAGGCTATGCTGGTCAGAATGCGTCTCGTGCGTGCTACGCGAGGGATTGGAAAAAAGAGGCTGTCCCACCTCCCCCTCCCCCCCACCCAGCCCCACTGCTGCTGCTCTCGTTCCTCTCATGTTGGCTCACAGGCTCTCAGAGAGTAAACGCAAGTGCCTGAAGTGCTACGGGTCGGCCACACTGGCCACTGCACTTGCATGCTTGATTTCGTGGGCATTGCGGGGGTATCGCTGATAAGCAGCTGCGGTCCCTTGGCAAGCCCTGCGAGCCCCCCACATGTCCGGGGCGTGAATATCTCGATCTGATGAAGTCTGGGTTGACGCACAGAGTCCCAGGCAAGGCCGACCAACAGCGGCGGCAGGGAAGGTCGTGTCCTTCATGTGGTTGATCGGTGCATGTCGGCGCCACTGGCTCCTACTCTTAGGTCGGGCCTGTCCCCCTACAGGGGGATTTTGGGCGAACAATGAAAACAGATTCAAAACATACGCCCAAAATGTTCAAAAATATACAGAAAATAGTCCCCAGACTATTTTTTCACAATTTTTGAAGATCCCTCCTGTAGAGGGACAGGCCCGACTTAATCCTACTCCTACTCCTGAACCCACCCCTCCTCCTCGGCCGCCTCGCGCCCGTACTGCTCCTGCCGGATGATCTCGGGGGCGAGGTAGAAGTCGGAGCCGCAGATGGACTGGGAGCGGGGCAGCTCGTTGGGAAAGCCCTGCGCCACCTGAGGGGCGGGAGGGCGGGATGGGGGGGAGGGCTTCGCCCTGCGAATGATGGGAAACGCAATTTTCTTCAAACAACAACACTCAATGAGCCACAATTGCGCTTCAAATAATTGAAGGGGCCCTGGGACACACACAAATAAATAGACACAAATAACAGGATTCCCCCTATATTCTCTATATTTTCTGGGTTTTTGCCTTGCCCCCCAACTCCCATATTTTCCCCTACTTTCTGGGGAAGCGACGATTCATTGTGTCCGTGTGGTTTTTCTTTTCCCTCCCGAGGGAGGGCGGGGGGGGGGGGGCGGGGGGCGCACGGGTTGCCCTCGCAACACGCCGGGGGGAGCGGACCGGGATCGGCTCTGCCTCTCCCTCCCTGCGCTGCTGTCGTTCGCCCTCGCTGCCGTGTGCAGCTCGCCCCACCCACCAGGCGGCGACTCCTGGAGCGGGTGCTCCGAGAGTCGCCTGGCCCAGGATCCGGATCGGGCTCATGGAGCTCGGGCGTCCGCTCGGGGCTGTCGCGGGTGAGGGCTGGAAAGGGCACCGTGCGACAACTCTGAATTACAAAATTCGGTCGACCGCCAACCTTGGCAGGCCCTCTGCTTTTGCACGGGGTTGCACTGCCCCTGTAGGGCCCCGCCATGAGGAAGAGGACCAGACGAGGAGGAAGATCATGAAATTGCCGATGATGCTGATGATGATGCTGCTGGCTGCTGCTGCTGCTGCTGCCTGCTGCTGCTGCTGCCTGCTGCTGCTGCTGCTGCTGCTGCTGCTGCTGCTGCGGCTGCTGCTGCTGCTGCTGCTGCTGCTGCTGCTGCTGCTGATGATGATGATGATGATGATGATGATGATGGTGATGGTGACGAATATAAGGTTGTTGAGGATGATGATGAGGAGGAGAAAGAATGTAGGGGGGAGGCGGGAGCATGGACTATCAGTAAGCCCAACACAGAATTGAATGCCCCGCGGGGCTGGGAGCCCCCGCCCCGAGCGCCGCCACCCCGAGGGGCCTGGCGCAGAGGAAGAGGGCTCTCATCCCTCCACGATGCTCTCTCCTGCCCTTTCCTTGTCCCTCCCTCCTCGTCCTCCTCCTCACTCGTCGGTTTCCCGCTTCTCGCTCCTCCTCCTCCTCCTCCTCCTCCTCCTCCTCCTCCTCCTCCTCCTCGTCCTCACTCGTCGGTTTCCCGCTTCTCGCTCGCTTCTCGCTTCTCGCTCCTCCTCCTCCTCCTCCTCCTCCTCCTCCTCCTCCTCCTCCTCCTCCTCCTCCTCCTCCCCTTCGCCCTCTCGCTCATCCTGCTCCCCCTCCTCAGCGGGCGCGCAGTGACATCACGGTGGTGCACACAAACTCGCACCTCGAGGCGGAGGAGCTCATCGCGAGAGGCGCGTCGCCCGAGCTGGTTCGCGGCAGCACCGCCGCCGACCAGGCAGCAGGGCGCGCGGCGGAGCTCGCGCAGTTCCCAGGGGACAAGCGGGCTCGGGCGGCCCAGGTCGAGACCATGGCGACCGCGGGCTGCGGACCGCCGTCGACGCTGCCCCGCGCCGCAGGGCCCCCAGCCGGCGAGCGCGCGCAGCACCTCCCGCGGCCCTCACGGCGGCCGCCTCCGCCTCGCAGCACGCGCTGAGGCCCGACGGCGGCCGCGCGTGCCAGGCGTGCCGCCAGCCCGCCTCGGCGGGCTGCCGCACGGCGTGGCTCCCGGAGGATGGCTGGCCGCTGGCTCGGCGGGCCGAGGAGATCCACGAGCCGCGCCCCGAGGCAGCTGGCTCACCCCTCGCACGGGCTGGCGATGCGCAGTGCGCTGGGGGCGTGGTCTTGCCAGCACTGCGGGGTCTCCGCCGCGGCGGGCGGCCGCCTCCTCGGCCGCGGGCTGCCGCAGCCGCACCCGCCCGCCCCGACGCCAACAGGGGCAGAAGACCCAAGGCGGAGCGGGCAGCGCCCAGGGCGGGCCAGCGAGGCTCCTCCGGGCAGGAACTCCAGCACCTCGACGTCGGCTTCGACGACACGTCCGCAGTGGAGGCCGCCGAAGTCGCTGCTGGAGCCGCCGTGGCAGGCTCTCATGGCTTCGCTCGGCCCGCGCGAGGGCGACGACGCGGTCGGTCAGCCTCCCCAGCAGCGTCGCTCCAAAAGGCCCAGACAGGGAGGGAGCAGGAGGCCCCCCTCGCCTGGAGTAGGAACGGCACGCGTGATGTGCGGCAGGGACGCGATCCCGCACCAGGAGCCGGGCGAGGTGACCGCGCTCGGGAGCCAGCTCGCGGGCCCCTCTGGCATGCAGGCGGCCCACCTCCGCCTCGACGAGGACAGCGACGCAGCAGGCCAGCATCACCAGCAGCGCAGCCCCATGATGTCCAAACACGGATGGAACAGGTGGCCCTCCCGTCGATTGGGGCAGGAGCAGCGCCGCACGAGAGGCTCGCTTAATCAATGTGCGATGTGGTTCCCCGCTGCGTGCGCGACGGGGGCCTTCCCAGCCGGCAGAAAGTTCATGCCGCACCGTACCTGCTGATCCAGACAGTGTTGGAGCAGGTGGCCCATTCCGACCTGGGCGCGCACAGCGACAAGGCAGATCGGCATCTCCAGCAGCGCAGCCCCGCGGACCGTGGACGACATGGAGCAGGCCGCCCGCGGCGCCCAGCAGCAGCAGCAGCCGCGGAGGACTCCACAGCAGCAGCAGCGGCAGCAGCCGAGGTCGCGCGCGGCCGAGGAGGGCTCCGCGGCAGCGGCGACCCTGACCTCCCAGAGAGCTAAAAACATAGCCCTCCAAACCTGTCGACCTATCTGGACTGCCTAATACCTCGACGGGAAATAAGATGTCGAGGTCCTGGTGCTATTTTTTAGCCCTCCTGGAAGGTCAGGGCGGGCGCGGGCCGCGGGAGGCACGCGGGCGCCTCGCCATTGCTCGGACGTCCATTCCCTGTGTTTTTTTTCCCGGTCTCGTGCGTGGATTTTTCGCCAAATGATCAGGGAGGCTCCTCGAGGGTTCTCGCCGGGGAAAAAATGCACACGTCCGAGCGATGCCAGGGCGCGGGCCCGCCGCACGGGGGGGCAGGCCGCGGCCCGCGGACCCTCCGCCCCAGGATGCCCACGGGATGCCCCTCTGGGAGGCGGCAAGAGGCCCCCCCGAGAAGCCCCAAGCTACTCCCAAGGCCTTCAGGTTGGCAGCCCATGAGCCCGCTGGAAGGGGGCACGGCGACCTCCCCGACCTGTTGGACGTACTTGCGCGCCAGCTCAGCTCGAAAAGAACGGGGCGCCCCCCCCCCCCCCCCCCCCCCGGCGCATTGGGGACTAGCCCGTGCGCGTGAATTCGACGCTGGAGCTCCTTGCTGGCCGCCGCGAGGTCCAGCTCGGAGAGGCCCCAGCCCTGCATGTGGCCTCCCCCGTGGCGAGGAGGAACCCTCCGACGCTGCTTGCCCGCGCTGCCACGTGGCGCGGCTCCACGTTGACGTCGCCTGCCACGGCCCACGGGTGTTGGACTCCTCACTCGGCCTGGAGTCAAGGCCCAGGATAAAGTTGGAGCTGCTGTCGCTGAGCCCTTCCCCGTCGCGCAGACAGATGGTGGCGGCGTCGATCCCTGCATGGTCGTTGGCCAGGATGGTCCGAATGAGCACCGTATGCGGCCGGATGTAGTCGGCATTGAGGGGGGCTGCTGCCCGCCGCATCAGGGCGCCTAGCGCGACGCCCCTGGAAACTGCCGCGGCAGCTGTACCCGTGACCACGCCTGCCGCCACGTCGAAGTCTCCGCCTCGCTTGTCGCGCCATCGCCTGACTTGCTCGAGGACTCGCTCCTTGACCCTGGTCTCCTGCGCGAGGACCCAGTATGCCTGCGGGGGGGCCTCGTCGGCGAACGCCTCCCTGTCCCCCCCGAGCGCCGCTAGCACCGGCGCGAAGGTCCTCTTCTTGATCCAGTCCAGGGTGTCGCGGAAGTTGCACAAGGAGTTGGCGTTGACCGCGCGTCGCCAGATGCTGCTACATGTTCTGCCGCTTGGCCGCTGCTGCAAGGATTCCCGCAAGGCGCTTTTTCATGTCCTCTGGTCCTTCGTCTGGAGATCCTTCAGCGGCGAGGTTGTCCAGCAGGTCTTTTTCATTCAAATCTAGCTGGTTTCGGTGCAAATTCTGCCTCCTCTGTCAGCGCCTGCGCCGTGATTAGGTGCCCCGCCGGCACCAGGCCCGAGCCGCCGCTAGCGCCGTCGGCAGCCCCGTCCATAGGTGCATCGCCCTAGTCCGCGGCTTCTTGGGATGCCTCCTGGAAGATCGCGAGGAACGCCTGGTAGACCGCGTCGACGTTTGAGACTGGGGTTTGATGGCTTCGACAGCTGCCTGGAGCCCCATCGAGTCCTGCTCCTCAAAGAACTAACCCGCCGACCTTCTTGATGTTGGTTTCTGCCTCGACGATCTGGTTGTCGAGTTAACTGACATGCTGCTTCTCTGCTTTGGTTTGCCCGGGGATCTAGGACGGCTGGCTGTCCAGATCGCTGAGCTTGGGGGAGTGCTTGCCCTTCCGCTGCTCAAGCTTGTGCTTCGCCATCTGTGCGAAGCCAATTTGTATACACCACCACCGCCCGCAACAGCAATCTACCGCAAAAAGGGTTAGGGGCAGGGTCATGCCAGACGACGCTGCGACGCCACGGCGAAAAGGAGCGCGGCGCAGCTCGCAGGCGCCGTGGCATGGGGAGTTCCTGGAGCAGGAACAGCACTTCTTGGTGGTGGTGTATAAAAATCGCTCCTTTTGGTAACCAAAATTTTATACACCACCACCGCGCGCGCTTTGATGAATTTTGCTTTGGTCCTTAAGAGAGAGGGGGGCAGCCCGGTTGCCGTTGGCGGCGGGAGGGGGACTGCGGGCTTTCCACCAGAGCAAAACTGCACCAAATCGCAGCGTAGATTATTCTCGATCTTGGTGGTGGTAGTCATATACTGTGCTCGGAATCTGGAGCGCGCCCACCGTCTGGGGCTTCGGCTTCTCCTCGTACTCGGCGGCCAGCTTCCCGAGCGTGTCAGCAAGGTCCTTCCCTGCTGCGCCTCCACCGACTTCTGACTTGCGCTCGATGAAGGCTGCCGGCTTAGCTGCCTTAGCCTCGCGCTTAAGATCTGTGAGGGACTTCCACAACTCGCTGCTCGAAGCGTTTGTGCTCCCAAGTTGAGCGCTTCGTCGTCGACGTAGACGAAGGCGCCCGAGCTCCCCTGGGTGGTAAAGGAGTTCCTCTGCAACCGAGTCTCGCAAACTCGGGGTCCTTCTAAGCATCTCGTCCGACCTTGGTGGAACACTTCTGGTCGCACTCTCGACACTTGAGCCTCGATGCCCAAATGCCGGTGAAGCCACAGCGGCACGGCCAAAACAGGGTCCGCGACCCTCGAAGGACCACGAAGTCTGCATCGGGCGGCGGCGGCGTCATGCTTCCGAATATGGGGCGCCAAGGCCGACCCTGGACTTTGAATCAATATGGAGAACTGGCCGCGAACCCGCGGTACCCGTGGAACCCTTATAGAAAGAGGCGGCATCTGGAGCAACATGGCTACGGAGGAAGGGGTAGGGTAGGGTAGAAAAGGGTAGAATAGAGCAGAGCAGAGCAGTGGGGATGGTAGAGGAGAGCCGGGTGGAACAAAACAGAGCAGAGTAGAGCGGGGCAGAGCCCACCTCAGTCCAGTCCAGTCTCTTCGAGTCCAGTCTACTTCAGACCACTCCAGCCCAGTTCGTTACAAAGTCGGGTATGCTTGGAATCTGCGCTGGCTGATATTTGTTTCTGGCGCTGGTCGGAACCAATCTAAGTTAGCCTCCCAGGCGCGAAACGTACGTGTGCTGCCTCCGTCGCCAGTTGCGCCGCCAAAGAGGAGCATCTATGTTGCCTTGCCCTCCTCTCCAAAGGTCAGGGTGGGCGGGCCCACTGGTCTTAGTCCCTGTGTGCGGGGCTAGAGTGGGGTTCCACGGCGCAGATTATGCTCGTTTGTTGCTCGTTGTTGTTGTTGCTGTTGCTGTTGCTGTTGCTGTTGTTGTTGTGGTTGTTGTTGTTGGTGTTGTTGTTGTTGGTGCTGTTGTTGTTGTTGTTGTTGTTGATGAACTCTCATTCTTGAAGAATAATTATTGTTGATCCCCCCCCCACCGGTGCACATTGATTTTTTTCGATTGAAGTGCCACCCCCGGGGCTCGCACCTTGTTTGTTCTCAAGGAAAGTCTTCCTGCTCAAACTGTGCCCCTGCCCCCCGGGCTACAACAACAACGGCTCCCGCCTGAGACTTCCTCGATTTTTACTCAGGACCCCCGCTCCCGCCTGAGACTTCCGCGCAATTTACTCAGGAAAGGCGCTCCCGTCTGAGACTTCCTCGCAATGTAATCAAGACCCCCGCTCCCGCCTGAGACTTCCGTGCAATTTACGTGGGAACGGCGCTCCCGCTTGAGACTTCTTCGAATTTTACTCAGGACCCCCGCTCCTGCCTACATTTCCGCGCAATTGACTCAGGAACGGCGCTCCCGCCTGAGACTTCCTCGCAATTTAGTGAGGACCCCCGCTCCCGCCTGAGACTTCCGTGCAATTTGCTCAGGAACGGCGCTCCCGCTTGAGACTTCCTCGCAACTTAGTCAGGGCCCCCGCTTCCGCTTGAGATTTCCTCACAATGTACTCAGGACTGCGCTCTCGCGTGCGACGTCCTCACAAATTATTCTGGAATTGCGTTTCGGCGCTCAGGAACCACGCACGCGCCAAGGACGCCTTCACAACGTGGTATCTTCCCTCTTCCTTCGTCCTTCCCCCTCCCCTTCCTCCCACTCTCCCTCGTTTTTCCCCTCCTCCTCTTGCAGGGCCCGCGCCAATTCCAATGGCGTGCAGAGAGATGTACGCCCCCGACGGATTGTCCGCCCGTTCCGGTTTGCCCGTACGTCTAAGCCCGCCGGCCCCAGCAAAGAGAAATAATCCCCCCGGAAGGGGTGTGATCGAAGACGAAGAGGGCGGGCATCGAGGGTGTAGGGTATACGTGTTGAATGACTCGCGGGCAAGTAAGAGCGTACAGCCTTACAATGGTTGTTGTTGTTGTTGTTGTTGTTGTTGTTGTTGTAGTAATCGTCCTCGCCCGCGACCAGCCCGCGACCCATCCGCGACCCGCCTGCGACCCGCCCGCGAGCCGCCCGCGAGCCGCCCGCGACCCATCCGCGAACCAACCACATGACGGGCTCTATGCCTCATATGAAAATACTCGGCGCCTGCGGCTGGCTTCTTCAGAGCATCGCAGACTGCCGAAGATCCCGCCGCCCCCTCGCCCTCGTCGCCCTCCACGCGTCCCACGACCACCCCCTCGTGTTTACCCCCCTGCCCTCCTCTTTCCCAGCTCCCAGGACAAACGAATTCCACAACTCGCAAAGTAGCTACTCGCAAATCGCCTGGGTCCGCCGCGGGGGTTTTACGATCCGTTACATATGGGAACCAGCTTTCCTTCTGACGCTTGCGAATCGGCACTTTGCGAGTAGCGGAAGGGGCTCGGTGAATCTCGCCGATGCTCCTGCCGCTGCTGCTCCTCCTCCCCGGTTCGGAAAGGACTGACAAGTGACACACGAAGCGACAAAGGCCGAGGGATCGATACCGAAAGAAAAGACGCGCCCTTCGAAACAGGACGGCACAATTGCGACTGGCCCCGAATTGCAAATGTCTGCTTCTCCGTACGCCTTCCGCAACGGAGATTGCATGCACCAATTTTTTCGCCAACCTTTGCTCTCATGACTGCATATCCGAAACAACCTGTCTGTTCAGCCTAGAAATCGTGTTGGCCCCTACTGCGCAAGCCGGTCATATCTGGCTTGCTCCCTTCCCCTTCCCCCACGCTGTCCCGTTGAGAAAGGGCGGGGAGGAGCTCGTATTGTTGCATGTTCTCCCTCTCTCTGTCTGGAGTTGTTATTTGTTGATCTCGTGTTGTGTTGTTGTTTCTCTCTCTCTCTCTTTCATTCATGTGCTTTCTCCTGCCTGTCTCTCTCTCTCTCTCTCTCTCTCCCCAATTCTATGTACATGTGTCCCACTTGCTGTGCAACCGTCGTGCCAGCGTGGGAAACACCAGATAAAGAACGAAAGGGTTTCCCTGGCCATGGCAAGCCCCGGCCACAAGCAGAGCCCCCGACCTCCACCTGAGGAGCGGTTCCTGAGCCCGAATGTGTCCTGATTTGAGCTTCCTGACTGCATCCTTCTCGCAGCCACTTCCCCTAGGGCAACAAACAATGACATAAACATAAAAACTCGGAGGTCCGCGCGGATTTCTCGGATCAGCGCTAGGCCCCCCTCCCTGGCGCGCGGAGCGCGCCAGGGGCGGCGCCGGAGGCGGCGCCGGGGGGCTCCAGCTCCAAGCCGAGAAAACTGCGCGGACCTCCGAGTTCTTATGTTTATGCAATTTTTCGTTCCCCTATCCTCGACCTTGGTCGCTGCATGCCTCAACGAACGCTCCTGTCTGTACCCCCGTCTTCCCCGCCAGCCTTGGCGAGGCCGAAGTCAGAGATCTTGACATCTGTGTCGCTGGCGCTGCTGACAAGGAGGATGTTCTCCTGTCCCCTCCGCCGACCAAGCTCCGAAGATTTGCCAAACCCCAGGCAAAGCGTTTCACAAAAGACGAAACACACACGGGCGGTGACACAAACCACTCCCGAGGGGGCACCCCGAACATCTGCGAGTCCGAGCTGGGATCCCCTACGCCTGACGCTCAGCTGATTCAGAACAGCTTGGCCAAACCATACATCACCAGAGCTGGGGCGGACGAAAGCAACATCCGAAACGCATCTCTGCCATCCTTGCAATGCAATCACCGGGGACGGAGTTTACCTTCGCGTCGCTCCTCCCCCGTAGACACGTAGACCCCAGATTCGGCGGATCGTTAAGGTTTCAAGGCTCTAATTTTCGTATCTACGCCCGAAGACGTTGGTGTGCAAACACCGTCTTATAACACTGCCCCGAGGGGAGAACAGAAAGAAAACCTCTCAAAGAGGAGACCAGGGGGGTCCAAGGGGAGACCATGGAGGCCAAGGGAAAAATATCCAAAGGACAGCAAGCAGGAGATCAAAGGGGTCCACCATCGCCCGCCACCTCATCCCATGAGGCTCCTTAGACGGCCCACATACCAGCAACAACAAATGTGTGATAATTATGTGGGCATCACAAGCCTGAGAACGCACATGGGCTCTCATGAGGCGGTCTTGGGACGTTCTGGATATTTCGCAAACCTTCTTGGGACAGCATTGAGCCGTGTTGATCGCCACGCTCAACCATCCTGGCTAGCTTGGAGGTCATCTACCATGTTGGAGGCGACGTTGCGCGCGGGAGATAGTGTCACATGCGCCGCGTCTGCCGATGAGGAATTGACGTGGCGTGCGACCCGGGGTAACCTGCACATTGATTTTCGGAAAGGGATTACATTTATGCGAGTATGCATGTAATGTGTTCCCATGCAAGTATGGGCACACGACGTATGTAAACGCATACAAGTATGCGTGTACCTTCCGGTATGCATACCTGATGGGAGAAGGTCTACTTTTACGCGGCCACATTCGAACACATTCTGCGGATACAAACGCCAGTATGCTAATCCGACACAAGCACGAACTGTGTGTAGCAGAAGAAGCATGAAATGACTCCCCAAGCGCTGTTGAGAGCATTCAATTGCTGGACGGCACGTGCAGCTTTCCAAAGTCAACTGCCCGACATATTTCAATGCCCAGCGCCCGTTCCCAGTACCTTGGTTTCTTTAAGAGCTCCTGCCAGCTGACACTGGTAGTGTATATCTGGATACCAGGCACCACGCCCGTGGAGAAGACGGTATGCCACCAAGCCCTAAGGTCGTTCATCTCTTCCTCGCTATCGAAGCACGCCCGCAGCACCTGCCGGGCTGATTCACGGTGTCCTTTCTCGTCCAAATGCAAGTTATGACTCGCATCATGATGGTGACCAACTGTGTGCAGACCGCCCTGAATCGCTCCAGCAATTAGCTCTGCTGCCTTTTCATCTAGCTCCTTCTGTGTAGGCTTGTTGCCAAACATCGACCCAGCCCACTTAGCTGGTCCTGTGAGTACCTTGGCGAACTTGTCGGCCACGTTGCCGACGCTCCTCATCCAATCGAAGGCAATGTCGAGCAACGCGGGCTCTTCTTCGTAAATCCGCCCGCTCGTGCCGCACAGGTCAAAGCCGCCAGAAGGACCTCCCAAAAGAGCCCCGGAGGCACGAAGGGCTTTCTGCGAGGCGGGGTACTGCAACATCATGGAAGTCACGCATTTGTAACACGCTTGCTCCTTCCTTGCGAAAAGATTCATCGCTTTGCCCCACATGGCTGCCACTAGCTGCACTATACTCGAAACACCACCAGACACCACCCCCAATGCTATGCTCGCGGCCGTGTCAACAGTGTGGCCCACAGCAGCAGAACTCCGGCCATTTACAACATCTTCCAACACTTCTAACCCACCTGAAACGTACTCACCCACTAACGGTATGGCAGATGCTCCAGTCTTCACGCTGAAGCCAAATGAAAAGGACAGATGCGGCTTAACAGCTTTCTCCATGACAGCGCCCTGGCAACTCTTCATAGCAAATTTCCAAAATTCGTCATATTCGAGCCAAGGCATCGTCGAGACGTTGCTTTCGTAAGGGCCTGGAGCTTGGCAACGACCAGTGCCCTTCTTTTCGAAGGACGCTCGCAAATCCGAGCGCTTATCCACATCGTCGCTTTCGTGGTCCAAAATGATGCGGTTGGCACGGGCAAGAAACAACAATACAACCAGCAACACGCAAAAGGTCTGGGCACAACGCATATCTCACAATATTGGGAAACCAACGCTGACCTTGATTGTCTTGAGCCAGAGACACCGCGGATGGCAACGACAATATGATGGCGTAAGAATCAGGACATATAGCCCTGATGTCAAACACGATGCCGACTTGAATCGCGACCGAAGCCGCGGCAACAGCTATGTTGGTAATGTGGTGGTCCGCCTCTTAACAGAGCGCTGACGCCGCCGACCGCGAGGATGGAAATATAGGTGACGTCGATGTTACAGAAGATGATGGCGATCTTGTCGCAACGACCTGACAACAAGTAGTGATTCAGCTCAAGCATCGTGCTCCCAGGAGGCACTGTAATCCTTCACGGCTGTCGAGGATTACCCCGAGGCTCGGGTTCTTTGCTGTCTGTCGAAAAATCCGCCGTGACATTTCAAACAAAGGCCATTGCGTTTTCTGTCCGAATAACGTTTCCTTAGAGGGTCCTAACGAATGCGGCAAAACTGGCCATCGCTCGGACGCCCATTCCGTGCTTTTTCGGTTTCGCGCGTGGCTTTTTCGCCAAATGATCGAGGATGCTCCTCGATGGTCCTCGCCGAAGGAAAAATGCACACGTCCGAACGATGCCAGGAAGAACAACAAGAAGAGCCCCACAAGGGGTGACGGGGAGCCCTGGACCGCCCGGACCGGCAGCCGCTCCGCCCCTGAGACTCCTTCACGACGTGTGCAGGTCGTGCTCTCGCCCCTGTGCCGGCCACATGTTTGGTCTTGGCGGCCGCGATCTCTGGCGAACCAACGTGCCAAAGAACACACTGGCCATCGCTCGGACGTCCATTCCCTGCGTTTTTGTTCGGTTTCGTGCGTGGTTTTCCCGCCAAATGATCTAGGATGCTTCTCGATGGTCCAGGATGGTCCTCGATGTTTCTCGCCGAGAAAAAATGCACACGTCCGAGCGATGCCAGGTCCCTGGCGAACCAAACGACCAAAGAACACATGGCCGTTGCTCGACCTCCTGCTCCCCGACCGGCCTCTTCACAAGCTTCTGCTGCCGTCAGGGTGCTTTGCTGGGGCTATTCTGCAAAGGTCCTGACCCTGAGGGCCTCGGAGCCATCTGCGCTCATCGGAAACATCTTGATGGGGGCAACCTGCCATCGCTCGGACGTCCATTCCCCGTTCATTGCTGGGTCGCGTGTGTGTTCCTATTTCTCACCGTGGTGCGAGATGCGTAAGAATGGTGCAGAGTTCCTGGCGCTGGCCCCTCTGGGAAAGATGCACACTCCGCAGAGCGCCCTGTGGCACAGAGAGAGAGAGAGAGAGAGCGAGAAAAGGAGGAGGCGGAGGAGGAGGAGGAGACGGAGAGGAGGAGGAGGAGGAGGAGGAAAACCTTGGAACGTCTGGGGGGTACGACCAGACAGGGCGGGTCGTGACAAGACGTCGTGTGCATGTTTCTTGGCGGGCCCGGGCGCGACAAGAAACATGCACACGTCCGAACGATGCCAAGACAATATGAATGATCGGCATTCGTCGTCAATGATCATCGGATCAGAAAGACGGGCCCGACTGAAACGTTCAGCTTGCTTTCCGCATACATTCGATGAAATTGGGCCCAACCTGACCGACAAAAAAAAGGCAACGCTGTGATTCTAATGCAACTGGTATAAATATAGTCTGGCCGGTTTAGCGGCTCTGGCTAACTCTAGCCGACTCTGGCCGCCGCCAGCGCGTTTTGCAAGTCTGAGCGTCAGAGACCGACACTAACATTGACCGGTCGGCGCCCCCAGACCAACATTCCAACTGGAAAAAAGACAAATTAAAAATTGGGAAAATAAAATCAAGTCCATCAAAAGACCCTCACACCTAGACAAAGCGGTTTTGAAAAAGGAGCGGCTTTAAATGGAATAAAGACAGACTTCAATTTGACAACCACAGACTTCAACTTCTAACGTCCGCCTTTTTGACTCCACATTTCGGATTCGCTATATCTTACCTGCACTGGGTTTCGCACCTCTTGGAAAACATGGGAGCGGAAGCGCCGGCTGGTCGCGGCAACTCGTGCTAAGTTTAGATAAAGACGTCACACCTGCTGGTGCCAATCACCGAACACCACGCCGTCCGCGGGTCCGTCTGGTTGACCCAGGGCGGCAAGGGCTGAAATTATATACATATATATATATGTACTATTCGCGATAGCGGGCGTGATCAGGGGAAGCGGAGGAAGAGGAGGAAGAGGAGGAGGAGGAGGAGGAGGAGGAATAGGAGGAGGAGGAGGAGGAGGAGGAGGAGGCAGAGGAGGAGGAGGAGGAGGAGGAGGAGGAGAAGGAGAGATGAAGGAACAACTATGGGGGGGAGTTCGTCCCCCCCGATCACATCACGGCGGGGGGCCGCCGGAAGACTCCGAAAAAATGGCTCAAAGATTCCGCAGGACACCTCTGCTGGAGCGGGCACCATGACGCGAAGTGCTCCGGCGGGGCGGGAGGGAGAGGGTCGACAACGGCCGTGATCGCCCAGACCTCAACAAACGCAGGCTCTAACAGGAAGCCCCCGTCTCGATTCGGACCTCCCTTCCGACCAGCCACAACTGGGGGAGCTGCGGTCCTTACCCCCCCCGGGGGGAGCCCATCGCATCGACGATCTCTCGAGAGGAGTGTCGAAATCGACGGGTCCCCCAGGGGGGTAAGGACCACAGCTCCCCAAATTGTGGTTGGCCTGCCCTTCTATTGGCATGATGAACCCAGGCCCTTTTAGGGGCACCACGGCCTTGCCTCACGGGGGAGGCCGACGGCCGCGCCGCCGTGGAAAGCCTCCCGAAGGCGGCGCGGCGCGGCGGGAGCGCGCGGCCACGACGACGACGACGACGATGACGACCATCGGCGGTGGCGTCGGCCGCGGCGGCGGCAGCATGAGGACGAGGACGAGGACGAGGACGGCGGCGGCAGCGACAACGACGACGCCGACTCCGAGAGGAGCCGTTTGCAAAGGGCGTGGCTTGCGACGTGCACCCTCGGGGGGCGGGTGAGGACCTCGACAGAGTTCTCCGCCGCGCCCCTAGGAGGCCTGACGAGGGCAACGTAGTGCCTCACAAGCCCCAACGACACAGATCGAAAACCACCCTCGGCGTAGCCACACCCTCTGTAGTCGCCGAAAACTGACGAGGGGAGATTTCGGACAGGTGCCATTTTTCTCCAAACAGCGCTTGCGCTTAGGGCTTCTTACTTCTGCTTCTCAAGCAAAGAGATGGTCTCCCGAAGGTTCGCCCACGCTCTGGCTTGCTGCCGCCCCGTTGCCGCCTGTGGGGATATCCTGAGAATTCCCCACGTTCCGGCCAGTCGCCGCCCGTTGCATCACGATGACGAGGGAGATACCGGACAGATAATGTTTGTATTGTTGTACACCGGACTGGGGAGATCGAGCACGGTCGTTCTCCTGCGCGTCGGCGTCACTGACATTGGCATCGTGGTCCCTGTACCCCCTCACTCTCCTCGACC